TTTTTAAAAACCTTGGTTTTTTTTTTTTTTTTTTTTTTTTTTTTTTCATTAGAGAATTGCACTGGGACATTAATATGGCCTTACATACAGAAATGTATATGTTTATTTTGATGAGCATTTATTCAAATTTAAAAAAATAAATTTCTTTTTTTTCTATTTTATTTTTTTTTCATAAAAAAAAAATCTATATAAAATATCCTTAAAGTTTCAATTAATAAAATTCGATATTTTAAATATTAAAATGGAATGCGTTAAAATAAATAAATAATAATCAATTATTAATAACAATTAAATGATACTGCACAAGCAATTAGACATTTCACTTTAATAAAAGAATATAAATATATATATTATATATTATTTACAAGATTTTTTGCGCTTAAAAATCTTTCCGATATTTTTTTCAACTACAATCGAAACGTTCAATTTTAAGAAAAAAAATTTTTTTTTTTTCTATAAATTATAACCAAATTATTTTATAAAATCAAATCTACCTGTTAGCGATTGATTTAGTTCAAATTGATATTAATCTGTTCGTTGTGTTCATAACTTGATCGTGCACTTGATGATTTATCACTTCAAGTCTTTATCAGTCTTATCTGAGTTAAAATACGTCATTACTATTTTTTATTTATTTTCATTAGTATTTAAATTATTTACGGCGTTTTGTTATAAAAATGATTGCATACTAAAACTTATCAGAAATAATAATTATTAGTTTAATTAATAATATAAATATTAATGGCAAAGACGTAAAAAATTTAATTCTGTTATTTGTACGACTAAATGATAAATCTTTGATTTATCAACTCGTAGTATCTCTAATATATATATATATATTATATAAATGTAAAAAATTATTAATTATAAAATTAATTTTCTTGTACTATAAAACGTCCTTACTATATTAATGATGATTCACTTAATTGATAAATATAAATAATTTAAACTTGAACATACTGATCGTCATCAGGATCAGCATTGTCTGTGTTATTAAAATGATCTTTTTCTCTGGATGATGTGTTGTGAATTTTTTCGTAATTAGGATCATCATTTTGTTTGTATTTGACTTTTTCGTATCCGTCAACATTTAATCGTGTCTCCGAATACGAGTTAACTTGTTCGTAGGGTGGATCGGCGATTGAATTTTTAGTAACACTCATATACCTAACACTTTCGTAATTAGGATCACTGTGATGTACGGACTCATAATTAGGATCGGTGTCGCTGTCACCTGGACGGCAAACAGAAGCATAATTAGGTTCGCCATGATCATGAGGCATGCTTTCGTAATTTGGCTCAGAGTCAGTGTCTCCATCGACATCAGTACGCCGGCGAAGTCTTACTTTCTCGTAGCCTGGATCTTCACTGCTGGCATTGCTTACCTGGCGATGCTTAAAAGGTACTGAGTAAAACGATAAAACGTCTATACCGTTTCTCATACTAGTAGAGGTAAGCTGAGAGGTAAGTTTCGAGTCTTCAGCTCGAGAATACGGAGGCCTGAGCATCTCATAATTAGGATCATTGGGTTCGCTTACGGAATTTATTGTCCTCTGTGTTATTGTGCTCATGGGCTCGAATACATGATCAGGAGTCACGCGATCTAACTCGTATTTCCTCGCGACAGCACTGAACTCAATACTAGACTCGAGATTAAGAATATCTGGTGGAACAGACGCTCTAATCTCTGGTTCCCTTTTGTTTATTTCTACTGAATCGTGACTTGACCACGAGGCTCGACTGATCTCTACGAGATTAAGCTTCTTTCCTGGAATTTGAACGTCATTTACTTGCACATTAGCTCCTGAGTGTTCTTCTTCAGACTCCCGTTTCTTCTTCAGCACTTTAGCATACATATCTTCAACAGATTTACCGGGAACGAGACACGAGTGACTGAGCGGAGCTTGATGATCATCTTGTTTCTTGTGTTGTTTGTCAATGAGAGCATACACGTCTGTAGTACCTTCAGTGGAGCCTGCAGGTAAAGGCGGTGGGGGTGGTGGTAACGGAGAGTTAGCTTGTCGCTTCTCAGGTTTTGGAGATCCGGGGTTAGCAATCGAACTCGTCGCACTGGAAGACGAAGCCTGACGCGAATGTGCATGTGCGACGTGCCGAAGACTATCAACACTGGGTGGTTGGGGCGCAGAAAATACTACTGGTTCCTCAGGAATGATCCTCGGAGGTGCTTGATGAAGCAGAGACGGCTCTCCGTGTACTACAGCTCGACTTTGTTCGCTGATCATCGGTTGAATTTGCGCATAAGTTTCGCTACCGCTGGTATAAATTTTTTCTTGTTCATCAATCGCTGCGTACATTTCGTCTGAATCATCTGACACAGTAGCGTAATGCGAGTCTTGAACAGGCCGAGAATTTTGTCGATTTTGATGTGCAGCTTTAGTTTGAGCAATTATATTCGCAAGAGGTTCACGTACGCTTATACTGGTGTATCCTTTATTAGAATCTTGTGAATCTCCGCTAAAGTGTTGCGGCGGTCCATTGTGTTGAGGTTGCGGAGGCCGCGGTAAAGGCATCAATAATGGTGGAGTCATATAAGGCAAATCTTGGTTCGCTTGTACGCCTCCAGTTATAGCATTTGCCGCCTGAATGTCACACGTCGTTACTTCAGTGTTGAGCAACGAATTGTGTGACGATGATCTGCGTGTTCTAGGCGGTGCCACTGGATTTGTTGGCTGACTGTTCGACGTACAGGCAACATTGTCCGTTATCTGACTAGGATTTCTAAAACTATTCTGCCGATTAACTTCAGACTTCTGGACACTTTGTACTTGGGCGTACGGGTGTTCATCTGGCGTCGAATTAAGAGTATTTAATCTTGCATAGGGTGACACGCTGTCATCTTCCTGCAGTGACGACGATTCTTGCGAGCTTGTTCGCGTTCCTCTCTCATTATCCCGCTTAGAGTTTTTATCTCTTACTGTGGCGTACAATTCCGACGAGTCGTTCATTATTTCAGCGGCTTCGTAGATTATATCTTGAGGATTCGAACTAATTCCATTTTCATCAGTACCCACGTTTCGATCTTTTGGAATATCCGGTAGACTTCTGTTTGCTCCGCTCGTTCTAGACAGAAAAAATATACAACAAATTAATAAACTTATTCATAAATGGATAAACTACCATTTACTAGAGAGTTTTATAAAAATTGATAGTATCAGCGACAGTTTATGAGGTTACATATTCCAAGATAAAGAAATTAGTGGACCACTAATTTTAAAATTAGTTGGTAGAAAACAAAAACCATGTAGGGAAGCACGAAAGATGAAAATAGTTATAATAATAATAATAATGATCAAGTATAGATTAGCAATCATTAAATTATTTTAGGTATTAATTAGATTGTTAAAGGGTCGTGGGGAAAGTTATTAATTGATGGTAATCGTCAGGCATACAAGGGATCATGCTGCCATGCCAGGTCATGGGCTTGGCACCTTTTTCCACCCTCCACAGTGTCCTGGGTAACAACTGGTGTGATATCCGATATTGTTGGCTGGCCATCGTAATCGTCATTATCAGCATGGGTGATTGTTACCATACCCGGTAGTCCCAGAAACTCGCTCCTGTTTTTACATATTTATGTTGAAATAATAATTTTATCCTGATTTGAGTATCCAATTTATTATAAATGGGATCAAATACTAATTAAATGTTATGGCTTACTTAATGGATGATAATTATAATTTATAATAAATTTATGATAAAATAATGCATACTTGTTTTCACCGTGTCTGCAACTGCATATACAAGCAACAATAAATCCAACAAAAGACAATAATGTTGCGACAGAAACGACCCAGTAACACCAGGCGCTCTGCTCATAGAAGTCATCGTACATGGTCGTCGTCATCATCAAGTTGTTAATAAAAATTAATTAACCCTACAAGAGTTACAATTTAACAATCACATTTATTAAATAAGTAGTGATTCATACGGTTATAAATATGACTCATCTTTCTCTTTCTGCATACCGGAATAGTAATAATGAAAACTATCTCCACCAATTCCAGTCACGTATCATTTTTTTAATAAATAACTGTTTAAACAATCACCTATTGAACAATCAAATAACTCAATTAGTTATCAACAATGCTGACAGTAAACGTCAATGATCATTTTAAAATCAACTTCTGGCGTTATCTTACCAAATAAATCATCAGTATCTACTGTCAAAGGATTATATTGTTATAAAAAAAAAACATACTGATGTTACAATATTACACAAACATCCAAGTAAAAGTTTCAACTACATAACCTCCGGATTTTCATGTTTAACTAAAGAGCACAAAGATATAGTCGTCCGAGGAAGAGAATTAACCTCGGGTTTGTTCGGGATGGTCGTGTTATAAATTTTACGTGGTAAATAGAGGGAGAGAATCCCGAACAAACCCGAGTTTTATTCTCTTGGTGGGACGACTATGACTGACAGCTTGACAGTAGTTTTTTAGTTTTTTAGTTTTTTATTCTCTAGACTAGAATGTGAATCAAAATGGCGCCTCTTTGAATTATACATTGAAGTATTTTTTATTTCTCATCTGTTAAGACAGGTAATAATTATTCAATTTAATTAATTAAAAAAAAAAAAAAAAAAAAAAAAAAAAAAAAAAAACTGCCTCGATTAACAATCTGAAATAATAAAAAAATATTGATAATCATATAAAAAAAATATTGATAAAATTTTTACCGCCTTTTCTTAGAAACAGTCTGTCATTGTCACTCATAAATTTGTCATATTTGACACTCATACATTAAAAGATATCTATGTTCCTGCTGTAGTTGATATTTACGTTATTGTATATAAGTAAAAAATTCAAATTACTAAGACAATTGATTTATTTTAATTACTTACAAGTATATACTACATAATAGTAATAATAAAAAATACTGTTCGATATATTTTGATAATTATTGTTTGTATTTTCAGTTATAAAAATTCTTAAAGAGCTGATTTATAAAAATGGCACAGTGTCATCCACTGGTAACTCGTTTAGTCGCTTCATCAGTTACAGCAGCAACACAAGCAGGAAAAATAATTCGTGAAATATTCACACAAGGGGATTTAAATATTATTGATAAAGGAGTAAATGATTTGCAAACTGAAGCTGATCGTTCTGCACAAAGTTGTATTATAGAATCGCTGAGCAGACAGTTTCCTGATATTACGATAATTGGAGAAGAGGGAACGTCCCAATGTCAAGTCCCGCCAGAGTGGATCGTCAATGATTTAGATCCAGATGTAATGAAGGTTAAACTTCCTGATTATCTAGAAAATGTTTCTCCAAAAGACGTATGCGTTTGGGTTGATCCTCTTGATGGTAACTACTTTTAGTTTTAATTTAATTGTTTCTAATTAGGTACTTATCTTTGCATTATTGAGTAAACATAATTATTTTAGGTACTTCTGAATTCACTCAAGGATTAGTAGACCACGTGACAGTGTTGGTTGGTGTAGCGGTTGGGAAAAAAACTATTGGAGGTGTAATTCATCAGCCTTACTATAAAGATGTACAAAAATCTTCACTAGGACGTACTTTGTGGGGTATTGATAAAGTCGGCATTGGTGGTTTTAAACCGATTCCACCACCATCTGGCAAACGAATAATCACTACTACACGGTACTAATATTATATTAAAAAAATTTTTTTTTTTTACTAATATTAATATATTTTATGTTGGTGGTTTATAAAAAATTTTAGATCGCATTCAAATAAAACAGTTCAAGCAGCTTTAGACGCAATGGAACCTGACGAAATTATTCGAGTAGGAGGTGCTGGTCATAAAGTAATGCTCCTATTAGAAGGTAAAGCGAATGCTTACGTATTTGCAAGCTCAGGGTGTAAAAGATGGGACACTTGTGCTCCAGAAGCAGTGTTGAACGCTGCAGGAGGAACTCTCACAGATCTCAATGGTGAACATTATCCGTACAACGCTGAAACTGAACATCCAAATACTAAAGGAGTATTGGCTACAGCTCCTGGTGAACAGCATTCGTGGTATTTATCGCGCATTCCCGATCAAGTTAAACAAGAATTATAATTTTAATTGTATTGAATATTACATGAAATTAATTAAACTGAAATGAAGTATTTTTTATCAAACTTTAAGGAAAATTAACTTTTTTTTTTTAAAGAGAAATTTTAAAATTATTATACAATATACATACAATATATATTTTAGTGATTTCAATGCGACATTACGCAATTTAAACACATTTATCTATGTACGAAGTAGTTATGATACATAATCGATTGATTTATTAATAGAAATTGCATTTTCTTGATCAGTTTAAAAAAAAAAGTTATATAAATAAATATTAATTTGATTAATGAGCTTTAGGCTTTGCGCTTTTTACTTTTTTTAATTTTTTCAGTCCATTTATATTAGCTTTCAGTAGATTCCAGTACGCCTGCTGGAATTTATTTACATCCTTGGAATGAATCTGCAATAAAAATTTATATTTTTAATTTTTTCATTCATTAAAAATTATTTATACTTGTTTTGTTTTTTATTATGATTATCTCTGTCGTGACAAAAAGTACCTTACGTCAAAGACAATCAATGTAAGTGAAAATATTAAATACTCAAATTTTTTTTTCTGTAAGAGAAGCAGTCTCATAATACTTTACTTTATGTCTATGAAGATTTTTAGGGAACAAGTTTTTTAATTTCTATTGTTATAGTCGACTTTCGAATTAAATTTAAATTCTAGTTTTTTGTAAAAAAAAAATTTGAAGATTAAAAATTGTTAGGTAAATTTTCTTATAAATAATGTCAAGTTGATCTGTCTATAGCAATCAGTAGATTATTAAATATTCATATCAAACTAATTAGTACATCATAAATATTAAACTTACAACAGTAGAAATTTTTTTCGAATGTAATTTAGCTCGTACTAAACAGAGATACTCTGTTGGTTTTGGTAAAGGTGGGTTGCCTTCTCTGGGTTCCGGTTTGTTGTGACCATTGACTGAAATAAAATATTTATCCAATTACTTTAATAAATTTTAAACATCAATCAGCCATAAATAAATAATCAAACTTTACATCTTTTAATAGTTACAGCTACAGAACCTGACAGCCGTGACTTTTCAAATAACCTAGTGAGTTCACTCAAAAACTGTAATGAAGACCATTGTAATTAATTAATTAATAATTATATAAGTACGAGCAGTTTATTTATTTTTTAATTTATTGAATACTTTACCACATCATTTTCTAATAAAACCATTCCAGTAACATATGCCTCGACTTTACGCCGAGAAGCATGTACAACAAAAATTAAGCTAATTTATAGATTACTAATTTTAATTTTTTAGGTTATGTTACAATTGACAACGACGACAACGCAAATTACAACAAACACGAAATATTTGACTACAGCCACCTGTAGTCGATTTTGAATTTACTTTTTCTTTTTACCATCAATAGAACCAGAAGGGAGAATTTTTTTTTTTTTTTTTTTTTCTGAGAACACACGAGGGTCCTAAATTAAAAAAACAAATAAAATACGAAACTATTTTATTCAAATTCTACTTTATTTATATTCTTCAAATAATTAAAGTTAATATTTTAATAATTTTTGAATTAATTAAATAATTAGCAGAAGCTTTATATAAAACTTTTTTTGTTGCAGAAAAAAATGGAACCAAGTATCAAAGTTGAAGTAACCACAAATAATGAGTGTATATTTAATAATTCAATAAATATTTCAAATTACCATAAAATAGATAATTTAATCGAAAACTTGAAAGTGATGCAACGACAAGTCAATGACTTCTTGACAACTTTAGTTGAAAAAGACTCTGGCAAAGGTGAATGTACGCACTTATTGTTCAATAATTTTTTTAATTTCTGTAATATATAAATAATAAGTTTTTATTGATGATAACTAAGTGTGTTATAAATTATTATAGGTGAATCTCAAGAATTATCCAGTGGAGATGACGAAGAAGATTCAGATGATGCTGACACAATAGACACTAAAAAATGTAAATTCAAGTAATTGATAGACCGACCGGTTTTAATAAGTGAACCGTTACAAACAACTTGTGTTGCAAAAAATAAATTATAAGTGTTAAGAGTACCAGAATAGTCTTTTATCTATTTCTCTTCCTCATTTTTTACCTTCTCTATTAATTAAGTTTTTTATAAAATATTGTTGCAATAAATGTAATACCTATATAAGGCCGTCAATAATACAAAATCAAGACAGTTGTTTATATTGACACTGATACGGTTTATGTAGTTGTGTCTGTGTAGCGACACACACTCCAATCATCTGTGATGTCAAGACAGCTGTTATCCTTGTAAATAAAGCCACAGAACGTCAGTATTTATACTACATCATCATTCCGATACGATAATTGTATTTCAAACAACTGGTAATGTTCTTCACTTATCAATATTTTAATTATTAATCTTATCAATCTGAATTTATGATTTTTTATTACCTTTATTATATCATACTCTAACTTCATAGGTTAGAGGATAATTTTTTATAAGTATAATAAGATATATTATATAAATATAATTATTTTTTTCCAACTTGAGTACTTACACTAATTAGTTGAAAAAGAAAGTTTATATTTTAAGTAATGATTTTTTAAATAATTATGAGATAATACATTCTAAAATTATATTTATAGTAATTTTTTTTGTGAATATATAGATGAAACATGTCATCAACATTATCAAATCAAGCTCAATTGAGATACATGGTGGAGTGGTTTCAAGAGTGGTCCGAAATGCAGCGTGGAGATTTTTTAAGTGTACTTATTGAACGATGTGGACCTCCTGATTTGGTGAATGGACTTGTATCTGGCATCGAAGGTTTGGGATGCAATAAAGATGAACCAACGAGACCACCAAGTTTGTTTCAATGTCGTGTAAAACTTTTCCAAGAATGGAGCCAGAATTGGTCTCAACAGGAGAAAGACAGTTTACTGACTTCCATTAAGAATATTGATCCTAAATTTGCTGAAAAATATGAACGAAGACTGACAACTGGCAGCGTTGAAGAAGAAGAATCGTAGATTTTTTTTTTTAAATTTATAAATCATGATTTATTATTTTATACTAATCATTTTGAAGATGTTCTCTTGATTTAATTTAGAAAAAATTTTGTTAAATATTTTTATTTTAGCGCATGTAGTTTTTTTAATATCTATCTAGTCTGCTGTCGTGTCGCTTTAAAATTAAAAAAAAAAAAAATACATTCCATCTATTTATAATAATAAACATTCCATGTGTACATATCATCATTAATCGACTGGCAGATTTATATATTTATAACCGATAATATTCCATTAAATGATAATTACGTAGGGAATTATTTTAAACAACAATAAATAAATTAATTGGGTATATATTTTATAATATTATAAAACATACGTAATATAATAGTACATAATGGTTTTATGGAGTACATTTTACCTACAATGACAATATCTAAATCTAATTATTTAAATATAGTTATAAAGTACGTATATATATATATATACATATTTATTATATAAATATATATCAATATCGTATGTGTATTGATTAGTACTAATTCTTTTAAATATCACAGCTTTTAAAAAGTATATCAGTTCTATGTGCCGTCTGTTGTTTTTTTTTTTCTTTTCAATTCACTTATGTACAAAAATTAACACAAAAATAGATTAATTTAAATTTCTTTCTTAATTGTTACTTGAATAATTCCATAACAAATAAAATAAAATAAAGCATTGCTAAATCGCTAACACGTGTGTTAATATTTACATTAAAAAAATTACAATTATTGAATTGCTGATTTTTTTTTTTTTTTTTACTCGTATCAATAATTAATTATGTCGATTATGTTGAAGCCACTTGGTACAAATGGATTTAATGGCAGACTGACCAAGACTATCAGCTTCTTTTAAGATTCTTCGGATATCTTGTTCTCTTGAATGCTTAACAGCTAGAAGATAAGCAGCTTTAAGTTGTTTACTTTCAATGTAGCATCCAATTTTCAATTCAATATCTGTGATAAGTCTTATGAGAGAATCTATTTGATCTTTAGGAGCTGGATTTGTTTCAGTACGTGAGCGATCTAGTAGAAACTTAATACAGTTAACTAATACGCGGTCGGATATTGCATTAGAGTTTGGTGAACCAGAACTTCTACAACATTTAATTAACTGTTCTATTGAATTTATTTTTTTGTCTAGCGCCAGTATGTGTCCCACAAGTGAATAAACTTTTTGATGATGAAGATTATAATCCTGCATCACCCGAAAAGCGATACCAAAGCCTTCTTCAACATTTCGTCCGCATAAAATTGCCAGTACAGCTAAATGCGTTCTTTCTTGCTGATTACCGAAGAGAGTTGGTGCATTTCGTGGTTGCAAACCTTCACTGTCCATAAAGGAAAGCTTGCTGAGAAATTCATTGACAGATCTTCCCTCCTTTTCACAGGATCCTAAAAATTTTGCGATTTCCATTTGCCGTGAAATTGTATTTATATGCTTATCAATTTCCGATGGGTCCATAAAAAATGAACTAACACTTCTTCTTTGTCGTCTGTCAAATATTTCGTCTTTTTCACTGTGCAATTCAGCTTCCAAGTGCCTCTGTGCGTCTAAAAGAAAATGACTTCTCATGCAAATATCTGCGTAACTACTGGCGTCTATAACGTAAAATCGTATACAAGTCATAGCAGCTCTCACATAGTCCTTCATAAATAATTGAAGTTGGTAAAGAGTATTGAATAACTGTTTTCTTTCTAGATTATGACAAGTAAATAACAAATACTTCTTCCATGATAGGAGACTTGGATCTTTGGATTTAATTGCTGTGCAAAGATTTATCATTATTCCGCTGCGAAGACAACCCAAGAAGACAACGTTAAAAAATAATTCTGGATCTATTTCATTTTCTAAAATATAAGATAAACATTTATCCAACTCTCGGTAACGAACGAAAAATTCTAAAATAGAATTATAGCTGCCGTACATTAATAAATAATATAAGCTTTCTTGATACCGAAAATTATTAGTATTTGAATTAAGCTTAGACACAGTGTAATTACCATAAGATATAGCTTTTAAATTATTCAGTGTATTTAATATTTCTTGTGCCATTGAATTTTTTGATGGCGTTGGTTGTTGAGAATACTGATCTGTAGAATTAGACACTTCAAGAATTTGTAAAATTTCTACCAATAAAGGCGGATCTTTAGTAGGTCGGATTTTTAATCCTGTTCGAGTTCTTGAACTCTCTCTTTTCTCTGAATTTTTATCGCTTTTTGATCCTTCCCCAGTATCACTTGAGTATGAAAGTAAGACCCAATCTTCTGGTACATAATCTTCTTGATTAACTTTATCTAAGCAGTGTGAAAATTTTTCTCGCGCCTTTTCGTAGTAACCTACTTTAAGACATGCCTTGCCCCAAGCTGCCCAAACACCCTGAGTATCCAAACCAGATTTAGTGCTGACATTTAACGCCAGTCTCCATTGTTCCTTTTCAGTCAATAAATCTCTCAATCGCCGTAAAGTATGATCATTGAGATCATCCTGTGGAATCAATGATAGACAATCAGATGAAACAAGAATATTAATAAGATCAACTTGGGATAAAAATCTATCGCAATCAGTTAATCCAGTATTAAGTCCAAGTTTTGCGCATTTAACTTTAGCAGCCAGTAAAAGTGACCTGATCATTTTAATAATTAAACTGTGATCTATTTCCGGATTAACTCGACCTTTTTTATCTGGATACAACAATTTCTTCATTTCATCACAACGATCAAGAAGAAAAGTTGCGTATGTTTTGTGATCTGAGTGTAAATTTAATATCGCTAAACACAGAGGGATATTTGGAGCGTATTCAAAGCAAAATTCTTCTCTCAGCGTTCTATTGTGAGCCTCTTGAATTGACAACCTCCAGCAATCGAATGTTTCACTGCTAGGTGCTGATGAAGCACCTTGTGCCTGCATTGCAGTTTGTCGTTTACAATCATTGCACACACGTACAAGAACTGAATCCGCGTATCCTGGCACTCGTATTCGCTGACTTGAACAATTGGCACATACTACTCTACCGCATCTTCTGCAGTGATGTCTTCTGTTGAACATGGAAAAAATAACAGCTTTACAACAGCTACATTCGCGGGCTTTATCATCTGGAATCCATTCTTCTCTGGTTGGTATATTTACAGGGATAAAAAACTCTTCACTTTGGCTCAACGAATTTTCTTTGAGCTTGTTGCTATCTGTGTCGCGCTGTATAGCCACCCGGAAGTCTAAAGATTTTTGTGCATAAAATCTAATAGTACAATCGAATTCTTCGCATGTAATACCGGCTGAATAAAAAGTTTCAGAGCACGTTTTTAATATTTTTTGTAGATTATCAAATTTACAGTTCATGAGTAATTGCTCAAACATAAGAAGTGGTTCATTGATTAAATGAATATACAGTGGCCTGTCTCGGGGATCTAGTTGCTCTAAAATTTCAACTCCCAATAAGCCACGTTGATATTTTTCACGTTCTACAGGTGAATTATCCAATAAATATTTAATAATAAATTTCAATGAATTAATCGATTCTAATTTATCAATAATACCATTGCATAATTTAATCGATAAACTTGCAGGTAGTGCACACAATAATTGGCGTGCATGTTTAAAATTATCTTTTTCATTCTTCAATAATCCCATAAAAAGATCTTGTGAAACCAGACACTGAATTTCAGATGAAGGCGTTTGATATTCCATCCACTCTAAACATAGTTCGTACTGATTAGCATCGATAAGTGATTTTACAATACGTGTTGGATCTGTTTTTTCAGTCCGATAAACCACATTATACCAATTAACTTGATCAGTATCATCATCTAATTTACAATAAATAAACATTTTATCAAAAACAAGAACTCTACAGAGAATTTCACTTATCTCAGACCTGCAATGTGGTGGAAGTTTATCAGTATCTACATGGTTTAATACGTGACGAAGTGCCTCTTCACATACCCGCACCGGCCACGTTTTTACTTTGGATAACACTACTTGAGCTAAAACATAAATGTCTCTTATCTGATATAAATACTGCAAGATTTCAGTGGAATTTAGATTAAGCTGAATATTACTGATCAAACACATAAGAATTTTGTCTCTAAAACTCTGGAACTCAACGTTTCCCATTAACAGCGAGTCTGGAAGTGCGTCAAGCATCGTTAGACATTTTTTCAATTCACGATTTTTTAAAAGAGCTTCAAAATAATCCCACAGTTCAACTGTCGATGAACAATTCAGTAGTCCAGCAACTGTTGAGTTATCTTCGTAAAGGGCTTTTAAATTTTGTGCCCAAGGTGATTTAAATAAATTTTCCAATACTGCAGTACGATCCAAATTATCACAGCTGCTGTCACGAATCGTTGGGCTCTCTTCGTGAATTCTTTGAACGAGATAAGATAGGAGCCAGCAGTGGCCTTCCAAGTATTGCAAGAGTGACGGTTTAATTACTCTATTTCTCCAAAGTGTCGTACTATCTTTATCATTTTTATTATTCTTTTTATCACAATTAGTTATTGGTTTTTCATCGCTATACTTAAACCGGATGTCGTATAAATATTTGAATGATTCATACTCTACATTTTTATCAATACTCAAGTATTTTTCTATTATTTCTTTCGATCCATTGGTGCTGATCAGAAGATCTACATATTTTTTAATAAGCTTCGGAAGACAAACAACACTTTCTTTATCTTGATTTATATAATTATTGAGATAATCATGTACTGTTGTATTAATTTCTTCATTTAAATCCTCAGGGTGATAAATTTTAATAATTGGAGATCTTTTATATTCGTTAATCATTGCAAATATAACCCGAGGATCTAGTTGTAAATCTAAATCCTGCCAAGCTGGTTCATTGAGTTCTTCTGGATATTCAAAATGTAAAGACTCGTCACTGCAAAGCGGTTGTCCAAGTAATTTTGATCGAAGAGTAAAGAGACTAACGAAACCAAGATCACCTATTTCATAGCCAATTGTACTCAATGATACAGCGTGTCTTAAATCACTAGTAGGTGGGTCTTTACTCCAAATTTCTATAATTATGTGAAGCATAATTAGATTCCAGATATTGAGAAAAAATGCCAGCGTATGGTCACCAAAAGATAAATAACTCAAATCTAAATTAGCAAAGCTTTGAGTTTTTTTAAGAATTTTCTGTATACTTTCTGTCTTTGACAAACTTTTCAAATCTGTTCCTAAAATATTTGACGAATCATAATCTGAGTCTTTGATAGCTTGTATCAAATCTGATAAAATACCAACAACACATTGATTAGGATCATCCATATCATCATTAATAAATTTTTCAACGATTTCATACTTATTTAGAACAATTATTCCCCATCTGTTGTTTTTTATCTCAAAATTATCCAGATTATCACTACACAATAACTTGGGACAGCAGTTTATTAAAATGCAGTAAGCTAGATTAACTTGCAACTGATTAGCAACAATTTCAAGTGTTTCTAAATCAACATCTAAATCAAATATTTGATAACCGATGTAAGAGTCAAGTGAATTTTCCAATAGAGAAGGTTTCATACCGATCGCATTAATATCTTTAAATGGCGGTGCAATTGATCTTATTAATTCTAAATGAGCATTTAATCGATGTAAATATGGTTCTCCATTGCTGCAAACCGATAAAATTTGTTGTAAATCATTTTTAAATTTTTCCTCTTCATTTGGATCCTTAATAAAATCTATTAGTTTTGTTTTATTTTCAAAAATAATTAGCTTACGCGCTAAATTAGACCAGTAATCATTTTGTTCCCGATATTCTTTCAAAGAAAATGGTATTCTTGCATCGCAAAGTATATTAACTATTGGTGTACCTTTTTTTTCATGAAACAGCTGATAAATTGTCTCAAAAAACTCATAATATTGTGTATCAATAAGTTTTTTATTAGATTTCAAATGCTTCATTGCGATTTCTGCGAAATTTTCAGATGTCAAACTATCTTGGCTCATCGTCAGCGCCAGATCGAGTGTCATCAACGTCATTATATCTTTGGCATTACTGGAATCAGAACTCAATTTTATATTAGACTCTTGTGATGCTAAAAATGTTTCAACTTGACTTGTCATACGTGTTGTTTGGATACCATCTTTAGCAGCTTGGCGAATAAAATCCAGTGTGGAATGTTTAGTATCTATTTTTACTTCATTTTTCGGTAAAATGAGTGTCAATTGTTTCGCAATATCTTGTCTGAATGCACGTATTGCTTGTGAAAATAATATTTCACCTGCTAAATGATTGTTTTCCATGTTAAAAGTCTGTAAAAAAATAAATAATATTAAATAATCATGAAATTATATTGCATATATTTACTGAGGTTTGGTTTAATTATTATTATTATAAATGTACAATCTTTACGACTTCCTGATTATACAGTTGCGTGAAATTGAGTTATTTCTTTACAATTTATGAATAATTATAAAGTGAATTGATTATAAAAAATAAATTATCAGGTTAAATTTGAGGATCATACGTCGTTTATTTTTTCATTGGGTAAATTTGATGATGAATATAAAGATGAAATGATTAAACCAGCGGATTTAGTTGCTTTTAAATTAAAAAATATGAATAATAATAAATATGACTCATTGCACTTGCATGTTCAGCGTGATAATCGACGAGCTGTCGATAAAGAGCAGAAAAATTATAAAAGATTATTAGAGATGTCAAAAAAAGCCCAGAAAAATGATTTTATTAAATTGAAATTGAATAAAAAAATTCAAAATAATCTTGAGAAGGTTACTTATTTTTTTGTAATTAAAATCATTCATGCTATGCATATCTGATATAATTTTTTTTTTTCCTTTGAATTTAATTAGTACAATTTAAAGTCAAAAAATCCAAGAGGATTAAGAGAGCTTGAGAAATCCACCACAGACTTAACAGATTACGAAGTTGATTACCAAGGAGGATATGATAAATCTGTCATCGTTAAGTCAAGCAATGATAGTGATGAAAAAAATTTACAGCCTATTAGTGAAGAAATAGAAGAAGCCTATGACTACGAGCTTCTTAAAGCTGAGTATGAGCAGCAAAAGAATGATTTTTTGTATAAAAATAAGACTTTTAATTTTACGGATGATGGCCAACCTGAAGATACACCAAAAGAATTTCTTAAACAATTGGTTCAATTTAACAAGCCACGAAATTGTACCCAAGAAGAAATAGAGAAATTTGGACTTAAATCATTTGAGTGTTTAACTTTTGATTATCAGAATGCGATAAAAAATAAAACAAGTTTGAGTGTTTTATTAAGACGAACATGGCAAGTTATTAAAATATGGTTTTTTATTTATGTTTGTATTGCCATACTGTGTTGGTGTCAAAGAGGTATGATAATTTTTTAATTAAATTTATTGATTATACGATATTCTTTAAAGATAACATCAATTAGGTTGGTGCTGTTGTTGTTTTCGATGTGATTTCTGTTTTCCTAGACGAAGAATTAGAAGAATAAGAGAATATTATAATAATAATCCACCGGGTACGTTAACCGAGGGGCCAGAAATCGATCCAGAGCAGCCATTGATATATAAACCAACAAAGGCTGAGAAAAAAGCCTATCGCAAATTAGAAAAAGCATTGCAGAGAGTATAAATGATGATTTATAATTTACCTCTATGACGCGTTGAGCCTCAGTCAAATTATCTTTCCACAAACATCTTAGAACCAGAGTTTCTTTTGAGGCCAGCATGTAACTGAGAGTAAATTCTTTGACTTGTTTTGAGCTTTTTTCATTCGATGTGTCTTCACTTTGCGATGATAGCTTTTTTAAACGTCTACGACGCTTGCTATTTTCACCAGCAGCATTCCCTATTGAACTACTTTCCGAACTTACGTCAATATCCGAACGTAATTCTCCTTCATCAGATGAACTTTCATCCAACTTATATAAATGTGAAGTTCTCTGTTGATGACCTACTGAATTTATTTTACTTTTAACAATACAAGTATTTTTATTTTGTAATTCAGTATCCGGTAGTCCTTGTTTTTTAAAAAATTCTGTACTTGTTAATAATTGTAAACGCCACGACGCATCACTGAGATATCTTTTCATAGACGATATTCTTTTATCAAGTTGTTCTATGTCTTGTGCCGCCTTTGAATCATTTCTCAATCTCGCGTACTCGTTATCAATTACAAAAATACAACGATTAAGATAGTGCAGTGTCTCTCGTATGGCATACTTGTTGCAGATGAAACCAGTTTGATAGTTATATGAATTTTTATATGACGGCAGTTCATCATTGATATTATCATCCTCATCTTCATCCTCTTGATCCGATGGATTTTCAATAGTTGTGAAATCTTCATGTCGTATAAATAACATTGAAAAAATATTTTCCATAACTTCTAGACGTAATTTTAATGGATTAAGATTATTAACATGTTTCTCCATACAATTATAATGCTCGATAACAGTATTAAATTCAGTGTTATAAGCATTACAAAGTGTTATTGCTTTTAGCGCGCTTAACATTCCATAGTAAGCTCGATAAGTCATTTTAGAGTGCACTGAATCCTTCAGCAAAGGATAAACATCTTTAAATAATTTATTATGTACATTTGGAACGTACGTTTTTATGGTAGACAGTATAGAGCATGACTGAAGATGACGAAAAATTTGTCTCACGTTGTAATTTTGATGCATTGAACCAGACTTTTTGTTATGTTTAAAAAAATCATCACGACTTTTAATAATCCACTCCAAAGCATCTACATGACTTTCTAGAGTACTTTCGAATTCCTCCATACATTGATCTTTTGAATATTTAAATTTACAATTTTTTAGTAAAAATTTTAGAGATTCAGATGTCGTAGAATTTTTTTTCCAAGCTTCGTTGTTAGGCGAAAATTGTTGTGCATTCAAACAATTATCAATAAATTTTAACAATAGCGGTAACCAAAGATTATTTAATACAGGATTTTTTAATAATTTTTCAACTTGATCGAATCGATTATTTATCACTAGCCCGTAACAGATCTCTAAAATATCTGATAACCAGTGAGTTTTATTTCTTAACACTCTTATAAATATTTCATTGGCATTTAATGACACATCAGATGATTCATCTTTAATATCAAAAACAGCTGAGCATATTTTATTAATATCATCTAAACTATCAGGACTTTTATTCCGTGCATAATGATCGTCACAAAATGTATGCCACATTTTAAAGTATTTCAAATCTTTACGTGAAAATAATGACAATTCGATGTCTTTAAATTTACATGTTTTGGCTAGCATTGGCCATAGCCACAATTTCAGTTCCTCTTCTTTTGAGTCTGTTATTTCGAACTTTGATAAAATTGACAACAATGTCGCTAAATGATTGTAACTTATCAAATTTATATTTTTTTGGCAGTTTATTAATCCATTGGTAGTTTTATTGTTGTTTGTTGAGGCGGATATATTTTTAGCTTCATTTACTATTTCTCTAATAACTTTAATATATAGATCTTGAAGCGCTGAATCAGTTATAGCAAATGATACTGACCATATACAGAGTAATTGATCTATCACCCATTGCACAAATGCTGGTTTATCCCACAAATGCTCTTCTAAAAACTTTAGACTATATTCAGTAATCTGCGGAAAAATTTCATCAGATTCTTCTTTCGTTATTGCTATCAAATCATAAAGCTTGAGCAATTCCTAGATAAAATAAATAAACAATACTTATACATCAACACATACTTGATCATTGAAATGATTAAATAAATAGAGAATAAAAAAAATTTTACCTGCTCAACAGTTTCAGGTACATGATTGTCAATTAAATGTAATGCATTTTCAAGTTGTAATAAATTAAACTGATGTTCCGTAACATTCTTATTAGTCAACATTGCCAATAGTTTGTGAATAATCCATGAAGAATTACTACTATATTCATAACAACTGAAAGTAAAAACACATTAAATAGTTATGATTCATTTGATGATAATATATAAATAATCAGTGTGTTAGCATATAATCTCATTGCATTAAAGAACTTATATTAAAGCTGTGTATTGTTGTACTGTACTATCATTATTTACCCTATTGATCTACATAACTCAATTGCTGCGCCATTATTATCATTTGACGATTTACCATTGTTTATATTTATTTTATGGGCTACATATGCAGTGTACCATAGTCTTGAAACAATAAAATCTTCTAACTTTGTTAAATTTACGTTTTTTGACATTGTTCGTTATCATTCCACAGATCATAACACTGCCAAAAACTCTTGCCACGTTCTAACACACTTTTTATTATTGTTATTACGTTTACGTTTAAATTAAGTTTCAAAGACACACGCGTTTGTTTAGCTTGTAAAACACTGTAGCGCTCACGTGCGTACAATAAAATAGTTTGTAGAGTAAGTGTGTACTATATACAAACATACATGAAATATATTGATAAATTATAAAAAAAAAGTTAGACAAAAATATATAGTTGTTCCAACGAAAGAGTATTCGCTCAATCAACTTCGGTTGACACATATTTCTGTATCCCCACTATTAATCCGAGTCACACTCTTTCGTTGGGATAACTTTACACGAATCATCATACACGCGTATCATAAAGAATTTTCTGCATTTTCAGCTCAGCAGATGTGACGCGCACGCCTTATATTACTGCGCTTAAAAAACTAACTCTCACAAGAAATATTGAGGGAAATTTGAATATTAGAGAAATATATTTTTTGTTTTTTACAGTTTGAAAAAAATTATTTTAAATATAAAAAATACTTTAAGCTAATCTTAAAAACTGTAGTAATATCCTTTCTCTAAAATAGTTGATGATAAAAAATATAATTATTACCTCTTGACAAAATTTTATTAAAAATACATATACAAGTATATTTAACAAACTGTTTTCAAAACGATTTGTAAAAATTTACATGAAAATAACATAATTATTCTCAGTCAAACTGTAGAATACCAAAACGGGTCGTTGTTGTTTTTCGTTTCGTACTTCCCATATTTTATCGCAAATTTGCTCAATATACTTCTTTGTTAATGGATGCCTATAAAAATGTTAATTTGGTTAGAAAAAAAAAAAAAATAAATAAAACTCTATAATAATAATACAACTTACTCTTCAATAACAAATTGGACGCTTTTTTGAAAATCTTGTTCCTTTTCATCAATTTCTAGGAGTTTGACCATTGTTCTCATTATTGACATCTCAAGAAATATTGCAAATACTTCTATAGATACTTTGCAAGATATTCGTTGTAGAGCGGATGACATTTGAGCTAGCATAGTGTTTTTATAATTAATTTTATAATTATCAGACAGTTTATCTCTCTCAGTAGGTATAAAATTAAAATTAATATTAAGATAATTTGATGATGAATATGTTGAATCAGTTGTACGGTTTTTGCTTTTTAAAACTGGCAGTGTATCTATTGGTCTTTGAAGATGTTCGGTAATTTCAGTTATACATATTTTTTGTTCTCTAAATTTGTCGTATTCCCAAGAGTATAGAACAAGATTTCCTATCCCGCCGTGTAAAATAATAACGTGAGGAATTAAATTTTTACGACAATAGTCAAGAATTTCTTCTTGAACTTGAAAATCCAATTTAGTTACTCGCAATCCAAGAGACCATAACTCACGAAGTAAATCAGCCAGTTCATGTTCTCGTTCAGGTTTACTGTCGATAAATCCTACAGCTACATCTATTCTAAATCTATTTATACTTAATTCATTATTTGTATCTTCTAATATCACGTCTTGAATGGCACATACTAATTTTTCGAGAGAAATACTGAGACCGACGCCGTGATGTGATTTTTTGACAATTAAATCTGAACTTTTTGATATCTGGTGAAATGATTGGATCATTTCATCGTATCGACCACCAGCTGCTATTACCTCTTGACATCGTCGTTTACGTTTTAAGTCGCAAGATATTTGAAAAATTATTCCACTTTGCTGCTTCATATTGTGAGCTAATAATGGTACGATAATAACTGGCCACTAAGAAATAGAAATAAATAAATTCTATTAGAGTGAATTATTCTTTCGTTAAAAAAAAAAAAATATTACAGTAAAAATAAATTAACCTGAACTCCTAGAGCCTTCACATGAGTAGTAACAGTTTCGATTTCTTTCAAAGCGCTTTTTGCTAAAACTGCAGCATCACTTTTCCTTTTTGTTATTGATCTAAGTATACTTGCAACCTTAGAAACATTGTTTTCAGTATCGAATAAATTCAAGAGAGTTTCCATAGCTTGGTCAGTCAGACATAAGCTTATAAAATGAGTTTGGACCTGGAGTTTCGAGCATTTACCATCACGTGCATCAGATAGTATTGAATAAATGTCTTGAAACTTTTCGGGACCGATTCCGCAGTACATTAAAACTGCATCAAGTAATGAAGTATGATTAAAATGAACGGTAAATTCTCGTTGATGTAATTCTGAAAATTTATCAATGATTTCCCAAACTATACGAATTAGCTCAGCTTCAGCCATAAGATCTACATCTGAGCTAATTATATCAAAGGCACATTCATATAATTCTCTGGGATGGAATCCATGAACCTAGAAAAATATTAAATTACAAATCAAGCAAAATTTAGGTTTATTTTTTAATCCATACCTTTTTTTCTCGGAAGACTCTTTCAATAGCATACCTTCTGAAATGTTCAATATTATTCAAGGCAACATATCGTACAAACGGTGCTCTGAGATCATGAGGTATAGTGACAATACTGCCTGAATGAGTCATGAGTTTAACGCAAGTCTCTGTATGATCATACAAGTGACTAGATTTGGGCATTAATAAAGGGGTTGCTAAATAGACTCCACCATGCCGTTGAAATACATTGATAGCTTCAGATTTAACATGCTCATGCAATAGCTCATTAACCACAGACACTTCATTGTTAGCTGATCTACTAGGTACATTCATATCGTATGTGATGTCTTCAGCTGGCGTGACTTGTTGGTCAAAACAACTAGCAATCAGGAACTTGTATGCCTTGCTTTGGCTGTTTGATAAAGTATGTTGAACCATTTCGTGTAATTCAGCCTCCACTAGAAGTGGTGGAGGCAGGTATTCAGATGACAAAAGTTCTTGAGCTGTCGGTCGCTGACTAGGATCATGATTGAGTAACCACCTGAAAAAAAAATTATACTAAATAAATATTTAACTCAAGTTTGTTTGTGTATAATACGTACCGTAAAAGATGAGTCTGGTGAGGCATTTCAGTCTCTGTCATATCAGGTGGAAGGATTATTTCTTTAGATCTAACTTTTTGAAGAATAGTTACTCTCTCCATTTTAGTATCGGGTGGTCGATAACTCATTTCAAACAGAATAATACCAAGACTGTATATGTCAACCTTTTGATTATATCTAGCTTTTGCTACCTCATTTCTCAATTCTGGAGCAACATAGAGAGCAGTACCCACTTGACCAGTCATTGATCGGGGTTCATCAAGAATAATATCATTTTTATTGTCTACTTCAACTTTCCGTTCATTATCAATTGTTTGTACAACAGAGCACAATATATTTGTTGTCGCCAAACCAAAATCACCAATTTTAACATGATCATTGCTGTCTAAAAATATATTCACTGGCTTTAAATCACGGTGAATCATTCCTTGTTGATGAATATAAGCGATACCTTCAACCATTTCTCGAAATAAACGCCAAAGACGGTCTTTATCTTCATACAAATTATTATCAATTGCTGTTCTTAGGGTACTTTTTTCACAAAACTCCATTTGTATGTACATAAATTTTGTTTTATGCTCCACAGAGCTATTTTCTTCACTAGTTATTTTTTCAGAAATTTCAAAAGACTCAGCCTTAGATATTTGTGACTCACTATCCACTTTGAATTCTATACTATCTGAAGATTCTTCTAATTTTTGTGGCGAATGATAGGATTCACTTTCGTCTTCACTGGAATCCTCATCACTGAAACTACTACTACTGTAGTCTTCATCTGAAACAACGTTTGATGGATTTTCAAAAGACACTGTCCACTCAACATCATTAACTGGCGATAGTAATTTAATTATTCTTTCAGCTTTTAATTTTTCGATATCATCTCTTTTATCTTTATTTAATGATGTCATTTCTGACGAAGATGAAGAGCTTCTTTTTACATTGCTTACTTTTACGTTTTCAATCCATGAATTATAATATCTTACAACATTTTCATGATTTAGCCTTGAGAGTAACTTTACCTCCCGTATCATTTTTTTATTTAATTCATTGATTTTTGGATTTAGAGCAATCCGCTTGATGGCATAAAATCTACCATCTAACTTATTTCTTACTTTCCAAACATCACCGAATGCACCCTCTCCCAACAATTTAAGAATTTCAAATTCATTTTTGAATCTTGAATTACTATCAAGGGATGGTAAATAAGACCTAAGATCAAAGGTAGGCTCCTCAGATTCAGAATTATCATCTTCATTGTTACAATGTTTCGGTAACGATAATTCATTGACAATAGGAGTCCTGATAAAATTGTGTTGCTGCAATTGTTTAGCTGACCATCTTAGTTTTTCATCACGGTTCAAACATTTGGACAAAAAGTCTCTCAATATTGAAGGCAAGCTTAATCCCCAATCCGCTTCGTTGTCTGATACTATTTTTACTTTTAACAGTGTCAAAAGTAAAGTACCGAACCTATAAATATCTAGTTCTTTTTCTCCTTGCTCTTTAATTAATGTAAAATTATTATTAGCTTTACCAAGACAACTTGAACGATAAATATCTGAAAGTTTTTTATTTAATGAGTAATTAGATACTCTTACAGTACCATTATTGTCAATATATATACTGGAATCAGTCAAGTCTTTATGTGCAATGTTGTTCTCATGTAAATACTCCAACGCAGCAAGAACACCGGTGGCAATATATCTCAATAAATCGATATTAACAGAAATGTTTTCTTTTTGAAAAAAAGTACACGTTGTACCAACAACAAACTCTTGAAGTATATAAACGACAATACTATCTTTATTTTGTAAATACTTAATATTCAAATAGTGAGCCAGATTAGGGTGATCTAATTTTTGTAAATGATGTAATTCCTGTTCAATAATCACAACTTGCTTCATTAATTGTTGTAAATTTAAAACCTCTGACTCGCTTTTTTTTTCTCCAGGAGAAGCATATCTTAGTAGCCACTCGGTAACTGCTAGGTGCTCAACAGTTATTATATCAACACCAGCATAAATTATTGACCCTTTGGCACTATGTCCAAGACATTTAACCAAATGAACTTGTCTCTCACCTTTGTTACTCAAAAAATTCAAAACTTTTGTCTGAGTAAATTCACACAACGGACTTTCTGAACTTTCGGATGTGCTCAAGCATCTTCTTCTAGAATAAGAACGTACTCGTTCTTGAGGGGATGATGGATTTGACGATGGTAATTCATTTGACTCCAAAGACAAACGTGCCATTCTTTTAAGTAAAACCTTTAAGCCAAGAAATGAAAATAATATAAAAATACTTATACAAAAAATTAATAAGTGAATGAATTAAAGATAAAAATATAAATAAAAAACAAACCTGAGGTTCTTGCTTCTCTTTTAATTGTTTTTCTGGCATCTCGCCTTGAATTTTTTCACAAGAATTGTTACAACCCTGTTTTTTATGCGTATGTAAAAATTTCTGAACGTGCTGACTCAATTCAAGAATCATTACTTCTCCTCTTAATTTTTCTGCCAAGTCTTTTATTTCTGAATATAAAACAGATACTTGATCATCAGAAAGACTCACACTGTTTTTTAATTGTAAGTGCGGAGCACTGAAATAATAAATATTTATTAAAAAATAATTATCACAATATAATAAACAGAATAAATAATTATCGTGTTTATTTACTTTTCTGGATATGTTTCTCCACACGTGATCTGTAAATCTATCTGTATGTTTTCTTGAGCTGACCCAGGCATTCCTTGTGACGGTGTCAATGTGATGTTTACATTTAGTGGTTGCCATTTTCGCTTATTTTTATTATTTCTCAGATCTTGTAGATTATCTCCAAAGACTGACTAACATAAAAAATATTTATATTCTATTTTACAATTATTGTTGCGTATGATGAAATAATTACATTGCTTTGCATACCTTTAAAACTTCAAATTCATTATTTTGCTTCTCTTGACATGATAACTGAGACATTTTTGTTAATAATGAAAACTTGTTTTTTTACTTAAATAATTCATTTTTGCATAAAATATTATTATTTACAGAATTAATGTATTTTATCTACTAGTATGTAATACAAATACACGTTTGTGAGGTTAATATATACCTAACAAACTGTGCTCATACATTCCTACAAATATATCAATGTTGTCTATTGTGAAATGATTTGATTGGTTGATTTAAATATTGCGAACCAATTGTAATTTTATTAATTTAATGTTTTTTAACGCAAACTTAATTTATTAAAATTAAAATAAATAAGTATGAAGAACAATAATAATTAATTACTCACCATTTTTGGGGTGGGTGGTGTTTAATTTTATATAATTAATTAGAATTTATAGTTTTTCAAGTTTTTTACAAATGAAAATGTTTTTTTATCTTTTTGTAATAATTTTTTCACTAAAAAAAATTCTAAAAATTTTTAGATGTTGACTTATGTAATTTTTATAATTTATCAGAAACATTTTTTTATAATAATTTATTTTTTAAGGAAAATTATAGAAATATTCAGATGTCAGTTAATTTTAGTATCATTCTAAAATAAATAAAAAAATTTTATAATTTTTAATGATATGTTAAAAAAATACAAAATTAAAAAATTTCAAACATAGGGAATTTAAAAAGGTCGAGAACATATTATAATGAATTATAAATTATAGATAATAGCACACATTTGAAAATATTTAAAGGTATATAGTGGATTAAAAATCTTGTCAATATTTTTGTAATAAAATAGAAAAATTAATTTTATTGAATTTATTATTATACTTAATTAAATTTAATTTTAATTAAACAAAACGTGAAAGAAATTCATAATTGTGAATTTTTTATGATTATTTAATCCTTTCTATTTTTTTTTTTTTTTTTTTTTTTTTTTTTTTTTTTTTTTTAAGAAGACCCTTCACTCATGCTATCTTTAATTATTGCTAACGTACTCAATTAATTAAAACCAGTAAGTACCTAGAATGATACAGAAACTGTGAAAAATTCATTAAAATTGAAATAAGCATTTATCATTAATTTATTACTTACCATTTTTAAGTGATTTGTTGTTTAATTTTCTATAATCATTCAGCATTCTACTTTTAATAATTTCAAAATTAATGTCTTCGTATTAATATAAAAGAAAAATCTGCGGATAAGTTAAAATAAGTGCTCTGTAATGATCACTTGCGGTGCCAAATAAACAAAATATTTTTTGATTTTTAATAGGTGTACTAAAAAATATAAGATATCCATACTTCATGTCCGTTAATTAAATAAAAATTGTAAAGATATACCGAAATTTAAAGGATGGAAAAAAAATTTATAGCCGCGCTGTATAAGTTTTTATAATACAAGTGGGTATATAACATTTTTAGATCCTTTGATTTCTTTGATTCTGCTGAATACCATTAAACAACAGTATACATCACACACTAAAAATAAAAGAAAAAACAATGAGCTTAAACCTTAATATATACTTCAATATCTAAAAACTTATAACTTACCACCCGACAGAATTCCTTTAGCAAGTAATAAAAATCCATACTCAATATTTTGATAGTAAGCAAATTCTACAGCAATGTTGTACGTTTGATTCATCATAGATGATGCAACTAAAAAAATGTGTGCATAAAAATGCGGCAATATAAATTTGTATTTGTCCTGAAAATTCAAAAATTTTAGTATTTCATAAATTTAGTGTAAAAAGTCAAAATATTTATTAAACTAATACTATTATAAATAAATTAAAAAAATTCAGACCTTTAGTGTGCCAAAGATCATCAAACTTGAGAGCACGAGCATCAAAAAACAAGCCGGGACATAAAAATATAAAAGTTCCGGATCGTCTAACAAACGAGATTCATACTGGTATTCTGTGTAATTCCCATACTCCGTATAATTTAGTACCAAATGGTCGTAATCAATGACTGCCCAGCCCAGAATAAATGAAAACCGAATCTGTAATTACATTGAATTAAATTTATTAAAAATTTATAGGTGATGTTTAGACAGTAAATATGTTTACTTACAATTTGAAAAACTCCAAAAATTGCAACTCCAGTTTTGAGTGACCAACAACAACATTTGTGCATTTGCATCTTCATGATTACTTATTTCAAAATTTACACCTGATGATGAAGAATGTGATCAACTTTTTTAACTTTCAATACTCAATTCACGCTTAAAGTATTAACTCCTGGTTTAATAATTTCTCAAAGAATATTTAAAATTAAATCTTCGTTTTTAAATTTATGGAAATTATTTACACTATTAATAATGTAGAGTTTAGAATAAGACTTTTAATTAAATTTTACACCTTAAAGCTGCATAAAAAATGCCAACAAAGATGCGTAAACATTTTACGCGATAGTTTGACGATTTATTAGCAGTAATGGCGTATGCAAATAAAATATTTATCAATATTGATAGTTACGAAGGAATCTATACTAGGTAGGAATACTTTTAAACTTGAAAATTACTTCAAGGTCTAGGGCAGGTGCATGTAGAACATCTAGAGTAATTCGATTAATTTATTTTGCCGCGTTCAAGCAAAAGTAGAAACCAGTTGCCGCTTTTTTATTTAATTAATAACAGTTGAATATTAGTTAAATAAAGAATGCTTTAAAAAAAGTTATTGTTTTCTTTTAAGGCCAGTTTTTTAATCGAGGATAAAATTTTAACCAATGATAAAATATATCTATATATTTCATATGTATAAATATACTGGCAATAATAATTTTATCCTGGATAAAATTTTATCTTGGATTGAAAAACTGGCCCTTAATGCACAGCAATTTTATATCTTACAGAAATACTATAAAAATCGATCATTAAAAATTTAACAAGTATGAAATAATGATTTATGGTAATTATTTACGGTTGGTGACTTTAGATATTAATTAATATATATTTAACATTATTTGATTCTAGGTGTGCACGTTCAACAGTTTTAATTTTTAATAGTATAAAACGAACTATATAATAACAACTATAAATTTTAATTAAAAATATTTAAATACAAATTTATAGAATTATTTAATTTAAATTTTTACAAACGCCCTCATATAAAAATAACAAAACGTCCATCAGTCAAACTGTATAGAACTAGAACAGGCCGTTGTTTTTCGTTCCTTATTTTTCTCATCTCATCGCACACTTGTTTAATCGACTTCTTGTGGTATGGGTGTCTAAAGAAAAGCAAGTTATCAATTATTAAACTTGATACACAACTAAATGAAAAACCAAAACAAGAAATAAACCACTTACTCTTCAATAACAAATTGTACGCTCCTCTGAAAATCTTGTTCTTTTTCATCTAATTCCAAGAGACCAAAAATTGTCTTTATGACAGGCATTTCTAGAAATACAGCAAATACTTCTATAGGATCTTTATACGATATCCGATGCAAGGAAGATGACAATTGAGCTAGCATAGAGTTTCTGTAACTTTTCCGTCCACTACTTGACAATTTATCTTTTTCTAAGAGTACAAAATTAATGTTTACATTGATTGAAGTGTTATGTGGATTTGTCGTAGATTCCATATTATTTATTTTGCTTTCAGATCTATGCAAAACTGGTGGTGGATCTGTTTGTTGTGAAGTTGTATTTGGTTTCCGTAAATACTCAGTAAATTCAGTTGTAGACATTTTCTGTTCTTTAAATCTTTTCATTTTACGTTCCCAAAAATGAACTGATAAATTTTCCTTTTCATCGTCTAAAATGATGACACAAGGAATTAAATTTTTACGACAATAATCTAGCATTTCTTCAGTCTTATTAAAGTCCAGTTTGGTTACCCGAAGATCGAGAGACCATAATTGCCGAAGAAGATCAGCTAGTTCATGTTCTCTCTTATTTTTTTTATTAATTAATCCTACCGCTATGTTTATTCCAAATTTTTTTACATTCATTTCAATATTTGAGTCTTCTAATAATAACTCTTGAATAACAGATACTAATCTATCGAGCGAAATACTTATACCCACACCGTGATGTCGGTTTTCTTTACTAGTCAATCCGGAACGTTCTGAAATACGTTCAAATACTTGGAGCATTTTATCATAACGACCACCCGCAGCTATTATTTCTTGACCCACTCGTCGTCGTCTACGTTTGAAATCACAGGTAATTTGAAAAATTATCCCACGGTGTTGCTTCATATTGTGAGTAAGAAGCGGTGCAATAACAATTGGCCACTAAAAAAAATTAATTTTCATAAAATAATTTTTTTTTTTTATGCAGCAAAAAACTATAACAAACGTACCTTTACTCCTAATGCTCCAATATGAGCAGTAACAGTTTCAATTTCTCTGAGAGCATTTTTTGCCAAGATAGCGGCATCTCCCATGCGTAATGTAAGTTTCTTGAGAAAATTCGCAATCTTGAGTGCATTATTTTCAGTGTTGGAAAGATTAATAAGTGTTTCTATTACTTGATCAGAGAGACCTAAATTTTCAAGATATGATTGTGCCGAAAATTTAGAACTTTTGCCATCTTGAGCATTATCATTTATAAAAAATATTTCTTGAAATTTTTCTGGTCCTATTCCACAATATATTAAAACAGCTTCAAATAAAGAAGTATGGTTTAAACGAACTGTAAAATCAAACTGACGCATGTCGGAAAAGTCGTTAAAAATTTCCCAAACTATACGGATTAGTTCAGCTTCAGCCATAAGATTTACTGTTGAGCTAATGATGTCAAATGCACATTCATATAGTTCTTTGGGATGAAACCCATGAACCTAAAAATCAATTCAAAAACTTAAGTCATGAATATAAAAAAATATTTTAAGATGAAAAATTAAAACTAAATATTAACAAATAATACCTTCTCTTCACGAAAAACTCGTTCGATAACATATCGTCTAAGGTGCAAGATATCATTCCATGCAACGTATCGCGCAAACGGTGCTCTGAGATCATGAGGTATGGTGACAATACTGCCTGAATGAGTCATGAGTTTAACGCAAGTTTCTGTATGATCATACAAGTGACCAGATTTAGGCATTAATAAAGGCGTTGCTAAGTTAACTCCTCCGTGTCGTTGAAAAACTTCAACAATTATGGACTTTACATGATCATGCAAAAGCCTATTAACCACTGATGATGAACTGTTTGCTGGACGATTCAGCACAGTCATATCATAATTGATGTCTTCAGCCTGTGATACTTTTTGGGTGAAGCAACAAGAAATCAAGTACTTGTAGGCTTTGCTTTGGCTATTCGAAAGTGTATGTTGAACCATTTCTTGAAGTTCCGCTTCTTCTAGAAGTGGTGGAGGTAGATATTCAGACGTTAAAAGTTCTTGAGCTGTCGGTCGCTGATTAGGATCATGATTGAGTAACCACCTGAAAAAAAATTATACTAAATAAATATTAAACTCATGTTTGTTTGTTTGTGTATAATATGTACCGTAAAAGATGAGTCTGGTGAGGCATTTCAGTCTCTGTCATATCAGGTGGAAGGATTATTTCTTTAGATCTAACTTTTTGAAGAATAGTTACTCTTTCCATTTTAGTGTCGGGTGGTTTACAACACATTTCAAATAGAATAATCCCAAGACTGTATATGTCAACCTTTTGGTTATACCTAGCTTTTGCTACCTCATTTCTCAATTCTGGAGCAACATAGAGAGCAGTACCCACTTGACCAGTCATTGATCGGGGTTCATCAAGAATAATATCATTTTTATTGTCTACTTCAACTTTCCGTTCATTATCAATTGTTTGTACAACAGAGCACAATATATTTGTTGTCGCCAAACCAAAATCACCAATTTTAACATGATCATTGCTGTCTAAAAAAATATTCACTGGCTTTAAATCACGGTGAATCATTCCTTGTTGATGAATATAAGCGATACCTTCAACCATTTCTCGAAATAAACGCCAAAGACGGTCTTTATCTTCATACAAATTATTATCAATTGCTGTTCTTAGGGTACTTTTTTCACAAAACTCCATTTGTATGTACATAAATTTTGTTTTATGTTCCACAGAGCTATTTTCTTCACTAGTTATTTTTTCAGAAGTTTCAAAAGACTCAGCCTTAGATATTTGTGACTCACTATCCACTTTGAATTCTATACCATCTGAAGATTCCTCTGACTTTTGTGGAGAGTGAAAAAATCCTTCTTCATCTTCACTCTCTTCTTCACTAGAACTATCATCACTGCTACTACTACTGCTGTCTTCCTCTGATATAGTGACTGATCGAGATTCAAAGTTTTTTAAATCATGATTTTTTATTTTTTCAGTTTTCTCTTCATTAACAGACATTTGATCCGATAAAGATGATGAATATCGCTTGACATTACTAATATTAACATTTTCAATCCACGAATTATAATATCGCACGACATTTTCATGATTCAACCTTGAAAGTAATTTAACTTCTCTTATCATTTTTTTGTTAGACTGTTTGCTCTTTGGATCTAAAGCAATACGTTTGATAGCATAAACTCTTCCATCCAATTTGTTTCTTACTTTCCAAACATCTCCAAATGCGCCTTCACCAAGTGACTCAAGAATCTTGAATTCATTTTTCATCCGTGAGTCAGATGTAGGCTCTTCCGTTTCTAAATTATTTTCCTGTTTATCAGAATGTTTTGGCGATGACAATTCACTTATCAAAGGTATGCGAATAAAATTATGCTGTTGTAGTTGTTTAGCTGACCACCTCAACCTTTCATTGCTATTTAAGCATTTGGACAAAAAGTCTTTTAATAACGCTGGTATGTTTAACCCCCATTCTGCCTCATTATCTGATACTTTTTTGACATTCAACAGAGTTAAAAGTAATAATCCAAATCTATAAATATCTATTTCTTTTTTTCCTCTGCCTTGAATTGTTGCAAAATTATTATTAGCTTTTCCTAGACAACTTAAATGATAAATATTTGATAGTCTTTTATGTAATGAATAATCAGATACTTTTACAATGCCTGCGTTGTCTATATATATATTTGAATCTCTCAAGTCTTTATGTGTAATATTGTTTTCATGTAAATATTCTAATACAGAAAGAATTCCAGTTGCGAGATAACGTAACGTATCGATATTAACAGGAAGGTTTTCTTTTCGAAAAAAAGAACACGTTGTACCAACTACGAATTCTTGGAGTATATATACTACAATACTGTCTTCAGTTTGTGAATACTTAATATCTAAATAATGAACGAGATTAGGATGGTGTAATTTTTTAAGATGATTTAATTCCTGTTCAATGCTTCCAACTTGTTTTAATAATTGTTGTAAATTCAAAGTATCTGCTTCACTATTTTTTTGATCCACAGGTGTATATTTCAACGTCCATTCTGTGACTGCTAAATGCTCAACAGCCTTAATATCAACTCCATCATAAACAACTGACCCTTTGACGCTTTTTCCCAGACATTTACCTAGTTGAATTTGTCTTTCTCCCCTATTACTTATAAAGTGTAAAATTTTTGTTGCTCTATGTTCACTTAGTGGACTATCCGGACTTTCAGATGAACTTAAACATCTTCTCCGGGAGTAGGTACGAACCCGTTCGTGAGGTGAAGATGGAATTGATTGAGATGTTTCGTTCGATTCTAAAGATAAACGGGCCATTCTTTTACGATCACGAAGTTCGGCTTTCAAAGCTTCTTGTCGTCGATGGATTTCATCTTGCAATACCTTGGATTCATTAATGAAATTATTAATCAAGTGTAAAAAAAAAAATTTTTTTTATTTAAATACATTTTTTAAAACAAACCTGTCGTTCTTGACTTTCTTTTAGTTGCTTCTTATGCATCTCAGACTGCATCTGTTCTTGACGACGAGATACCATCTCTTCATAAAAACTATTATAGCTTGGTTTGTTGTGTTCATATAAGAATTTTTGTACATGTTGAGTCAATTCAAAGATTACAACTTCTCCTTTCAATTTATCTGCTAAACTTTCCAACTCTGAGTATAAAACAGCGATTTGTTGATTAGAGAGACCTAAACTATTTTTTAATTTAATATGGGGAGCACTGAAAATAAAATATTTTTAAAAATTAAGACTGATGTCACATCAAAGAAGATAAAAAATGGATAATTTCCATATCAGCTTACTCTTCCGGATATGATTCTCCGCACATAACATGCAAATCAATTTGAGCATAAACTTGAACTGGACCAGACATTCCTTGTGATGGTGTTAAGGTCACTTTTATGTTGAGGGGTTGCCATTTTCGCTTATTTTTATTATTCCTCATATCTTCTAAATCATCTCCAAATATCGACTGCAATTAAAAAAAAAAATTCGTTAATAGTTTATGTTATAAATTATTAATAATAAAGTGCATGATGAAATAATCAAACTGTTTTACGTACTTTTAAAACTTCAAATTCATTATTTTGTCGATCTTGACATGATTCTTGAGACATCTTGATTTCTTACGTAGATTATTTACAATTAAAAACTATAATTTAAATCCTAATTTAAAAAATATTTATATAAAAAAAAAAAAAAAGCACAATTTCCAATGTATTGGTCTATAAAACCGCGGGCTCGTGAGGTTATAAAATAATACCTTAGTATTTATAATTAACAGATCATTACTCACTTACACTAACCACCAATAAATATTTATTGCTACATTGTGAAAACTATTTAATACTGTTTCTACTTAGAAAAATTAAATTTATTTAATAATGATAATGTTGTTCTCATTGTATTTTTTTTTACTTTATGTTTTGAGTTTAAATAGATAGGTAAATAGTAAATATATGTATATTGATGAGTGAAAAGACAACAATTAGTTTGAGTTACACGACACAATGTGTTACACACGCGCTTTTGTCACATGTTTACAATATTATTGTATCAGTAATGAGAGCGCTTAAAATTAAAACAAATTTAAACGCAATAAAACGTAATGACAGTAATAAGATATTATTATTAAAAAAATTTAATAATAAAACAAATAAAAATAGCACAAATGAATTACCAACAGCAAATAAAATCATTTTTGATAAATTATGATAAAAATCTAGAAATTTACATCAAATTCAGAATTGTTCGATTTTTTTGTGATTTTGACGTCAAATAATATCTTTAATTGGACCTTGAAATTTTTTAAATGCAATTTTGCCTTTAAGTTAGAGGTGAAAATTAAAATATCAACTTGTTTTGCAAAAATTTCGGCTACTTGGGTACCTGGGAAATTAAAAGAGTAGTTAATTTGACTTATTTAAAATACCACAGTAGTTACAATATTCTACCGTCTGTTACTCCAGTAAATTAGTAAGTGCAACGTCCCGAGAAACGTGTGCGAGAAAGAAAGTAAGTAATTTATTATAATAGTTTTATTTAATAGAAAATTATAAATTTTTAACTTTGTATTTAATAAATATAAAAATATTTAAATTAATATTGCCTTAAAGAAGATTAAACAATAATTGATAAAAATATAATAATTTTTAGGTGAACAGAAAGCACGTTGATTGGTGTGTTGACAAGCCGGTGTCTCGGAAGACTGACGAATCGAATAATATTATTTTCGCGGTCTTTACTACAAACAGATTGGTTGTCGTAGAGTAAATGTGTTCATGAAAATACATGCTAAAAGATCATCGAGGGTGAATTGAAAAATATTAAAAAAAATATTAAAAAAAAAAAAAAAAAAATAATAAAAAGGTAATAATAGGGAAAAATAAGTGTTTTTTAATAGTAGTTTTGAACGTATAGTAAGTAGAAAAGTGGTAGTTAGTTATCGCGTGGGTAAAATTTAGGGAAAGTGTGTGTTGGCAGAGCGAGCAGGGAAGCGCGGCCATTTTATGTTAGTATGACGTCGAGGCTGGGTGTGTAGCACAGCTTCACGTTGAACCGTCCGTGTTGATTGTAATAAAAGTGAAATAACGCGATAAAGTCTGATGCTGGTCTTGAGATAAATGTACGGCGTACGTACGGGAGGTGTGATTTGTAAATAAAGTTTAGGAAGAAGGTGGGTTTTATTAAGGTAGAGTAGGCTTAGCTAAGTGGTTGGCGTAGTTGTCGGCATAAAGCACAATCACAGAGAGCATGAGCGAGGAAAGTAATCCCCGTACACTCTACGTGGGTAATCTTGACCCATCCGTATCTGAGGATCTGTTATGCACATTATTTTCTCAAATTGGCCCGATAAAGGGCTGTAAAATAATACGTGAACCTGGCAATGATCCTTATGCATTTGTTGAATTTACAAATCATCAGTGTGCGGCTACGGCGCTGGCCGCCATGAATAAGAGACTCTTCCTCGATAAGGAGATGAAGGTTAACTGGGCTACGAGTCCAGGTAATCAACCCAAGCTTGATACTAGTAATCATCATCATATATTTGTTGGTGATTTGTCTCCTGAAATCGAAACTCAGACACTTAAAGAGGCATTCGCGCCCTTTGGTGAAATAAGCAACTGTAGAATTGTACGTGATCCACAAACCCTTAAGAGTAAAGGATATGCGTTTGTGTCATTTGTTAAAAAATCGGAAGCTGAAGCTGCGATAACTGCTATGAATGGACAATGGTTGGGATCACGGAGCATTAGGACAAATTGGTCCACTAGAAAACCACCGCCACCAAGATCCGAGAGGCCAAGGCACACAAATAATAGTAAACCTAATTATGAAGAGGTAACATTTATTTATTTATTTATTTATTATCTATTTTATCAGTAATACAAATTTATTTATCAACACTATTATTATCATGTTTGCTTTTTTTGCTCTTTTTTTTTTTAATAGGTATATGCTCAGAGTAGTCCAACAAACTGCACAGTTTACTGTGGTGGATTTACAAATGGCATAACTGAAGACCTGATTAACAAGACCTTCTCTCCATTTGGTACTATTAATGATATTAGAGTTTTCAAGGACAAAGGCTATGCTTTTATTAAATTTACGACGAAGGAAGCAGCAACACATGCTATTGAGGCTACGCATAATACAGAAATCAATGGAAGTGTTGTCAAATGTTTTTGGGGAAAAGAAAATGGGGATCCTAACAGCGTTGGACCAAATGCTAATCAGCAAGCTCAACAGGTAATAATTTTTTTTTTTTTTTTTTCAAGTATTTAATATTAAAGTTGGAGTAGCTTTAAATGATATTTTAATTGCTTAAAATAAAGGTAACTGCCGGAGCTGGACAATATCCTTACGGTTATGGCCAACAAATGAGTTATTGGTATCCTCAAGGGTATCCTCAGATGCAAGGACAATTCTTACAGCCAGCTCAATACTACAGTCAGTACTATAGTCAGCAGCAAGCTCAGCAGTACATGAATAGTATGAGAATGCCAGCACCTGCAGCTGGTACGTGGCAACCAGGACAAGCTACTGCCGCACCACCATCAGGAACAGCTGGACTTCAGCCTGGACAGCAAACTGTGGTTTATACAATGCCGCAGTATCCTACACAATGAGACCGATCTTGCAGATATTAAGTACGACCAATTGATTTTCGAGACATGTGACAAATCAGATAAAATGGATTTAAAATAAAAAAAAAAAAAAAAAAATAAAAATAAAAACAGTAATAATAATTAACTTTCGAAAATATTCAAACAGGGGCTTCTTTGAGTAATCACGTGTCTGGTACAAAAACAAATGCGTTCACGCTCTCTCGATAATGAATCAAGAATAATTTATAAAAAATAAATATTCACACAAAATACATTATTAATTATACATTGATCTTGACGATTCTGCATATCGGAATAATTTGTTATATATTCTTCGGGACTAAACGTAATACTAACAATTGAAACAAAAAAAAAAAAAAAAAAAAAAAAAAGAATAAATTAAAATGTTGTTCATCTATATATTTCCATATCCAATTGTTAAATCACTGCAAGTGAACTCAAACTATTGTTCAGTGAGTTAAATTACTAGTTTTCAGAAATAAATTTTTAATTAGAATTGTGCGAGCGTGACGTGAACTGTATAATAATTTTGATTGTAGTTTTGCTACGACAGAGCCCCGTACTCATTTAATATTTAATGTCATATCCATATAAAAAATAATTTGAGTTAAATTTATATTTTTGTTTGTTTCTTTGTGAAGCGTGATTGTCGTTTTGCTCTTTTTTTTTTCTTTTCTCTTTATAAAGACAAGTAAGTTTTTTTTTTAAAACAACTTTTTGATGCGAGATAAGTTTTAGTCTCAAGAATAGATAAGAAAAATTGGTTTAACATTACGTGATGAGAACTCTAGGGCTCTTAATGTGGAGCAATCATAGTTAATGTAGAAAATTGATTGGAAACAAAATGACGAATAATAAAATGACAGTGCGTTTATCGTCGGTGGTTGTGAAACTTTTACTTTGTGTTTCACCATCTTGACAAATCATTAAATTAAAATAATTTTATTAATCGTTTAAATAATAAACTATTTAAATTAAAGAATTATAAATTGAACTTTCATTTATATATTAATCGTAATCTAAACATATTATTTTTATTAGTTTATATCTTTTCGTCTTTCTTTAACTGTATCCTTTTTTTTTTCATTCAATTTTACTTTTACTAACATTCAAACTCTCTGTAACTCTAATGATTATTTGTAAATTTTGCTTTATCATTGGACGACATTTTGGTCTCAATTAAGAGAGTTTATTTTATAAACAAAAAAATAAATCATCAAAAATACATGACATGTTGATTTATCCATTAGTGTCTTCCAAGTTATTGTGTGGTTAAATGAAGATTATGTCAAATTACATAATATTTATAATAATAATCCATTTTTATAATATGATGAACTATGATTAGTAATTTTAATTGAATAATTTATCAAGAAAAAAAATTAATTTTTGTAATTTATTTATTAATTGTAAAGTACTGTTGTAATAACTTTTTTCAATGTGATTTTTTCTGATTAACTATGACGAAATTTTTTGTGTTTTATGTGATTGTAATAACAGCCACCGATGATAAAATAATTTTTTAAGGATGCCCCACAATTTCTATCCGCACTTTTCACCAAAAAAATAAAATAAAATAAAAATTTGTCCATAGTCAGCTATCAAACGTGTAACGCTAAGAAATAATGTATAAAATCAGACAAACAAGTAGTCCTGATTTAATGGGATTTTGATAATGACGATGATATAATTAATATATAGATAAAAATTATAATTACAATATAACTAATAAATAAAATTAAACGCTGGCAGCAAAATAAAAGTAAAAGATTCTGACTATGGATAACTATTAATCAGTGAAGTAATGGAAGACGTAAAGAAAAATAAAATGATAAAAGAATGTTATATAAAAAATAATTTAGGTATGAGGGGTTCGCAAAAACCTCGACAATGCTTAGGATAATGTTATCTTATAATAAAAAAAGAATAAAAAACAAAAAAAAAAAAATAAACAAATTGTCCTTTAAATGAAAAATGAAAGGAATAAATATTTAAAATACATGATCGTATTTTTTTTTCCAACGATTTGTGTCCACAGTAATGATAAACAAATATTACATAAATTTAAACGCAATATAATTTTTATTCACCATCTCATATTTTACATTGTTTATTAATAATTTAAATGGACTTAATATTGTTTTTTGAATTATTTGAATTTAATTGATCGCTTAGGCGATGGCGACTAGAAAATAGCGAGTGTATACATAACACATACAATTCTTTATTATTGAATCAACGGCAATTACGCACTAATACTATAAATACTATAAATTTAATATAATTTTTATTTTTAAATATAAATATATAACATCGCAAAGTAAAATTATTAATTAACATATACATCGCTACGAAGTAAATAATGGATAATTTGATTATTTTTAAGAAACTGCTTAGAATGGAAGAAAATTTTGGGAGTAAATTACAATAATTTTTAATAATAGTTGGCTTATTACAGTTTTGGGAAGTCGTGAAAAATAATTAATTTTGATTAAACTTAAGAAACACAACAAATTATCCAATAATATAAGTAATGATTGTTTGTAGCATGTACAATATTGCAATGTCATCACATAATTCCATATAAACGCGTTTGTAAATGTACACCAAAGCATCGATTATAATTACGGATCCACCATTACATCAAGTCCAATATGTAAAATTTAAAAGCCTTCTACATACATCTTATTATTATAGAATATTTTTTGCCATTTCATTCGACACATTAATCAAAAAGTAATCGGTAATTTTCTTATTACATTATTTTTTGTTGATTTTCTTATTTAATTTAATGCTATGAGTTTATAAAAGTAGCAAAATAACTGGATCAAGGCTGAATTGTATCTTAAATCGGAAGGCGTAGGAAAATAGCATTTTTAAAGAAATGCTGTACTTTCCTATTAATCGATTGAATTGATTTCATTATTTTTTTTACGTTATTACTTTTTTTATTACCACAGATTTTGATCAAAATTCAATAATAAATATGTGCTGGTAAGTGCGCATTTTTCATTTTATTTAAAAAACAAAAATATATATATTTTTTTTGAGCTTTGGAAAACATTCTTTTTTTTTTTTTCACCCGTACGTTATTTCAAAAAATAAAAAGAAATCAATAATTTAATATAATTACAACAATATATGACATAACTATTCAAACATAAAAGTGTTATCAAGCTTATAAATATAATATATACATATAAATATTTTTTTTACGGAATGTTTCGTTAATAAATTAAATAACAAGTTACAAATACGAAGTAATTGTCATGGAATACATAATAAGAATCCTTCAAAAAACTCAACATTAATCACAATTTTTTTCTTCAAATAATCAAAGATAACACATTTAACAAAAAAAAAAAACAAAACAAAATGTTATTTCATAACAGCCTTCGTGTTTGTACTTATTTGATCAATTATTTCAAAAATGATTCTATTTTGCGTGGCAGTAAGAAGCAACTGCGATTTTAGTAGTACAATTAAGATTGAAGACGCTCAATGTTTAATTAATATAACAATTCGTTTAAAAATATCACCTTACATCGTCCAATTTTTACGTACGATTTGAACGACAGTAGTTACGATATTACAATTATTTTTATAAATATATATATATATATATCGAATACCAATTATATATGAAGAGAGCGAATAAATATACATGCAAAATGATAGACATCGATTATCTTTCTGTTATTTGCATGCGCAAAAAACAAATATCAATCATTGCAAAAACTTTACGTATTATTGATCAATAATTAAATTAATCATTTAATTTTTACCTATGCTAATTATCTATTCTTAGCTTTCTTGATCATTACACAACCATTGACTAAGAAAACCACAAAAATATTCTCAATTAATTTCCTAATGGGTAAGTCTTTTTTTTGGGTTTCTAATATAAGAGAAAAAAAAATTGGCAATATCACTGTTTTCCAATAACAAAAAAATTTACATTAGGTAGTATTTTAATTCGTTGTCTGATAAATTTTTCACTTTTTCAATCGATGTACCTTATTTTTTTGCCAATTAAATTTTTCTTTAGAACCATCAGTTCACTGGTATATTATTCTTACGGTTAGTATTGTAGTTTTTGATATATGTATTTTTGTACATGTGTTTCTAACTAGGACTAGATTAGTGACTGGTTTTATTTGTTTTTTTTTTTTTTTTTTTTTTTTTTTTTTTTATTATTATCCTTATGGACGTGCATGGTTGCATTTGTAAATCTAAATATACTCCATTTTTAAAAATTATTAATTCTCAATGTGCTTATTTAATAATTACTGAAGCTATAGAAACTTTTTTATGAATTTCTAAACAATTTTCAATCAATTAAATGGCTTATCTTTTCGCAGTGTTGCTAATAATATCACTTAGAAAATTCTCACTTTAATTTACTGATGTAATTAATAACGAAATTTGCCTTGAGGTCTTTCAGTACTTTTATCCTCAGTGCAAAAATAGTAGTAAAAATGTGAGCGCGTTTTGTTTTTATTCGAGGTATTACAAATATTCAAGTATAAGGGCCCTTAAACGGGCACTTGATAAATCAGAGACTCACGTCTCCATACTCAAAACTCCATTTTTCAAAAGCGGTGAGGCTTGACGGTGATACGGATCGACGAATTCTTTTCAAAGAGTCCAAAAAATCTTGCATAGTGATGTTGCGAACAAGATTCAAATCAAGAGCTTTCACTTGCTCCGGATTTAATTCTATAATTAAAATATCATTCAATAAGTCATAGTAAAAAATAGTAAAAATTATAATTGATAAAAAAAATTACCTCGAATCGGTCCAAGTGCAGCATCTTTGGCTAAGCCAGTTAAATCACTTCCAGAATAGCCATCAGTTAAAACTGCTGTTTTATAAAGTTCTTCGGGTGTCAAAGGATCACTGTGCTTACCTAAAAGTCTCTTTAAAAGTGTAACTCGCGTTTGAAGATCTGGTAAAGTAACATAAACTCGTTTAGGAAACCGTCTCAATGCTGCTTCATCTAATTCTTGAGGTCGATTAGTCGCTGCCATAACGAGAACCCGTTCATCAGGATTGCAAGGTAGACCATCAAATTCTACCAGGAACTCCGTTTTTAGTCTTCTTGATGCCTCGTGTTCATTGTCACGCCTTTCACTCAGTAGAGAATCAACCTCATCAATGAAAATAACAGATGGTTGAAGCTCTCGTGCTATAGCAAACAGTGCTCTAACTAATTTCTCTCCTTCACCGACATATTTTGACGTCAAACTAGCCGCAGATATTGAAAAAAATGTAGCATTACATTGAGTAGCTACAGCGCGAGCTAACAAAGTTTTTCCATTACCAGGTGGTCCGAACAACAGCAAACCTCGTGCTGGTGTTCTTAAACCTGTAAACAGTTCAGGTCGAAGAGACGGTAATATTACCATTTCCTGGAGTGCTTGTTTAGCAACTTCTTGGCCAGCAATGTCGTTCCACTGTACTGCAGTACCTCCTTCTAAAATTTCATCTAGAATAACTTGAGCCAGTTTCGGATCAACGCCTTTTAACATTGGAACTTTTCTCGAGGGAGTTCCTCGATTACTGTTTGAACCACCCGGTGTACCAGGACGTCTTATTGGAGATCCATTCCCAGGCACTGACAACTGTCTTTTAATGGACGGAGGTGTTCCTGAAGGCTTGATTGGCGTCGTCCGATGACATGAGTGTGTAGGTGTTGAACGACCCATACTTCGAGGTAAAGTTTGACTTTTACTTATTGTACCTGGTACTCGCTTTCCTGGAACTGTCAGCTTTCTACCAGATGCTGTAACATTGTAAATAAATAACAAAATTATTTTAATTTTACATCATGATTACTTATTTATTAAACAACCAAATTTTAATAATATACACAGTCTAAACTTATCAATAAATTTTAGTAGTTGCCATGCTAGCTATAAATGCAAACAAAAAACAAATAAATTATAGTAAATTAAATACCTTCTGAAGTACGAATATGACTAATTTTTGGTGATATTGGTTTTGGTATTGTTGACTTATTAATATGCGTATGTGCATTGGCAGTATTTGAATTATTGACACAACGTTTGATAGTATTATTACTAGGACCCGTTAGAGATTCATTTGAACGTAATATCATGTTATTTTTCCTGTTCCTTGGATACTTTATCTTATCATAACTGTCAGAAGTATCCGAAGCGCTTTCTTGAGTACTTTTCTCATTACCACGGCAATCATTAGCTAATTCCAATTTTTTCAGCGCACAAATATTTGCTACAAAAAAATAAATAAAAATCGTCTGCGTCATGCTTTACACATAAGGCATAGAATTAAATAATAATAAACACATCTAATAATTATAATTATTATTTAAACAAAAATTGTTATATCAACATTTAGTATGATTTACTGTCATTTCAATATACTATTCACATTTATAATTATTTACATAAATATCATGCTAAATTATGACACTGAAGTTAGCAGACATTTAAAAATTTTTTATTAATTAAATTACAACTAAAAAGATATTTCTAAAAAATTGCACTTATAGTTTTTCAAGTTTTTTAGGTGTGAAATTTTTTTTTTTTTAATTGTTTAATTGAAATTTTTTCAATAAAAAATTTCTAAAAGTTTTGAAATGTCGGTTAACTTCATTTTCATGCTAAATTATGTATTAAAATTTATGGACAGTTTGTGCATAAATTTGTAACATTTAACAAAAAATAAAATAATAATTTATAAAAGTGCATTCACATTAAATAAAAAAAAAAAAACAAAGGAAAATATATAAATAATTATACCTAAAAAATCAAGTCTATCCTTGGCCATAACCAAGTTAGCTCGCATTTTCTCATGTAATCTCTGTGCTCTTTCATAAACTTCTCCTCTGCCTCCATAGCACTCGACAGCAACTCCCTTTTCTAACTCTCCAATGCCTTTTTTGTATAATTCAATCGCCATCTCTTTATGTCCTAATAAAAGAAAAAAAAAAAAAAAAAGTAAGGTTATCTATTTATTCAACAAACATCACACTTGGATACATTATTGAATAAATAAACAATACCTTCATTTTCTTCATCAATTTTCAAAGCTTTACTGATAAATTCAAAAGCCCTCCGATGGTGATGTTTTTGTTTGGCTAGCAACGGATCACCAGGACCCGGACCAGCAGGTCTTCTGGCAATTTGCGACATAACTGAATTATCTTGATCACTTGACACAGCCAGTAAATCGTTAGTCTCAGGTCTAACAATAATCTCAAACTGACACTGGCTTTTGTTTGTATTAGTTCTACGAATCAAGTGATTCGTCGACGCGTAAAGATACTTAAAAACAACAAACAGCTGATACAGCAGTGTTCTCAACACATTGAAAACTAGTATGAGTGGGAATGATACGATATAGAGATTGCGCTTGTGTATTGACGGTTGCGGAGCATCTATTAAATTATGACGATGATGATGATGGTGATGGTGATGATGATGATGACTCCCGTAGCTTATTGTAGTCGTAGCTTTATCACTGTTTTCTAATTTAGTAACACGTAATTTTTTAGGCGACTTTGAGCCAGATTTACGTACTGAACGCCCGCCATCACTGTACGACATATCCTCCCGCGATAATTCCCTCTTGTTTATTTAAATCCCTTTTTTTGTTTATCGCGTTCTCCTCAATTTGATTTCTGAATAAACTTAGACACTTCGACATTCCCGATTGGTAGAATGATTACTAGTCCACTTGCCGGGTAGATTTTTAAGATTTATCCAATGCAAAATAAATATATAAAAATAAAACCTCCTGCAATATTTTATCCACTGGTGTTTTACTTGCAGTCACCTAATCCTATATCTATATTATTGGGCGAGTCTATCCGGTCTGTTTACATTCAACTATATAGCTCTGAAAAGAATAGGAACTGTTCTGCTATGTTGTCAACTGGCAAAAGACAACTATCGTACTGACATACTATACAGTAGCAGTTGCAAGCACAAAAATTTATTAATGCAAAGATCTATACTTAATGAATTTTTTTTTTTTTTTTTTTTTTTTTTTTTTTTTATGTCAAACTACACACGCGACTTTATTGATTGTATTTATCTAGAAATAACTGCACGCACTTGCCGAATTCCAATGCACAATGTACATGTACTTGTCTCTCTCGACTTTAACATGATCTGCACCCGCGTGCGCACCCCTCTTCATTTACTTTACTTGCGTGTTAGACAGTTCACATACACAACTAGATCACCTCTGTTAAATGTATGTTTGCTCACTCTTTTCAATAAGAGATTTAATCTATTAAAGTGAAAAAGCATGATTTTTTTTTCTTCAAATACAATTACACTGGTACCTAGTTCCAAGAATTATTTTATCGCAAATGGATATCGAGGTAGGATTTCTTCATCAAATGCCCTTTTGAGGGGTTAATGAACTATATAATTATCATTGCTTTATATGACCATAGTTTAGTTAATTTCATTTGTCATTACATCATGTTAATTACTTTAGATAATAATAATAATAATTGTGAAGAAAAGATTGACTTTTGTTTGCTCAGTCAATTCTACTGTTCTTATATTTATCCCGCCAATTTTTTTTTTTTTTTTGGCAAAGATTTGAAAACTGAGGTTGAGTTAAACATTGCTGAAGTATATGCTGTACATAAATTAAAATCATTAAAGTTTTCATGTAAAAATGAATGATAATGAAATTAACAGACATCTGACAACTTTTAGAATTTTTTTCATAAAAAATTACAAAAAATAAATGAAAAGAAAAATTCCATATGTAGAAGATTTGAAAAAACTATAATTGTAATTTTTTTAGTTATAATTCAATTAATGACAAAAATTAAAAAATTTTTAAGCGTCTGCTGATTTCAGTATCATCATAAATGATAACAGCAGTCTAATAAGACAAACTTATTATTGATTTAAAAAAAAATTTTGGAGAAGTTTTAAGAAATAAGGAAGATTATATTTCTGATAGTTATCAATGTACATCCTTCATTTTCAATCATCTATATCAAAAGATACTTTTATATTATAAAAATCTGAAATTAAAAAAAAAAATAATTTTAACTGCTTGAAAAATAATTGATTAGTTAAAAAAAAATAATTAATATTTTATAGAACTTTGCATTTTTTTAAACATAGATACAATTTATTTTAAAAATAGATAAAATAATTTTCATTGTCTGATGTTCCTTATAATAAAAAAACAATTAAAATTTATTTATGTACATAAATATTAAAACGATTTTTCATTAGATTAAATATTTAGTAAGGTTCCTGCATTATTGTACTAATCTTTCTATGATAATTATTTTTATTAATTATAAATGATGACATTGATGTTAGAATTATTATCTTCAGCGAAGATAGTTTTTAATATTATATTTAATTAGCTTTGTAGACCCATTAGAATCTAATGAAATATTATAAAAATAACCGTCCCTATCTATTCATATGGTCCCTATATATAGACTAGATACTTAGAAGAAAAATCATTTCGTCTTAAAATCTGTCAATTTAACAAGTGTGATTTATTGAAGATTTCGTAAGAATTTTCTATAAAAATAATTTTGTCTGTGTAATTTTTCTGCTTTGTAAAACTAACGAAAATTACCTAGTATTTAAAAATGAAAATTCAATCAGTTATATTGTTAGGAGTTTTAGGGATAATTACATTTTTTTCTGATTCAGAAGCAAAATATGAAAATGTACCAGAAGAAATATTAACTAAATATTTACCTAAAATTCAGTGTTATGCCGATCAAGCTCCTTGTAATGAGGTCGATGCTCTTTTTAAATGTAAGTATACATTATTCAATCAAATTTAAGAATTAATATTTAGATTTTAAGTATTAATTAAAATATATTTTTTATGCAGCCAAACTTCCGGAAATTTTAGTTAATAATTGCTTAACTTGTGATGAAGGAATAATAAAAAGGGAAGCCCAGGAAGAATTGCAGATTTTAAGACAATATTTTTTTACAGATTTTAAGTTCTTATTAGAAAAAAATACAATTCCAATAGTTTTTAACTGTCTCCTTAATGCTGGTCCCTGTGATAGTAGATTAACACTCTTTAAAAGTAAGTTTAGTTGAAACCAAAATTTATTACTCCTATAATTTTATAAAAGTTACTTTTTTACGCATGAATAGACATATATTAGTTGAAGTGTAAATAAAATTTGTTGAACTAAAAATGATTTACATTTAATTTATTAATTCTATTTCTAATTACAGGTAAATTACAATTTTTCTTGAAAAATAATGAATGCCCTGATTGTACAGACGACTTTATTAACAAAATGAAAAAACGAATTGATTATCTCAAAAAATTTCATCCGCAAAAATGGCAACAAATCGAACAGATGTACAGTCAATAATATTTTATTATATTATTTCTTAAATATTAATAGATTTTATAATATACATAATACATAATATGTATAATCTGAATAAATATTTTTATTGAAAAAAAATGTTTTTTTTTTTTTTTTTTTTTTTAATTCAAATAAATACATTGACGAGCAAAAAAAAATAATCTTAAAATTACTCGTCACGTATTATGAAATTTATTTGAATATTATTCATTAGTTATAATCCGTCTAATCTCATAGGATTCAATTAAATTATTTTGCATCTATACTCTAGCAGTAGTCAGTCATTAGTTATCTTGGATGACTCATAAGCTTTTAAAATAAATTCTTTTACTTTTTATTATCTTGTTGTCAGATAGCAAAATTCGACTCTTCATTGTGACATAATGGACTATCAGTTATTTTATGTTTTTTATCTACAAATATTCAAAGCCTCTAATTCTTCCCATATTCATGAGGGCATTGGAGAATAATAATATAAATTTATCTATTTTTACTATCATCTATATAATTGAAAAAAATAATCCATTATCAATGAAGATAACTAAAGTCAAAAATTAAAATTTTTAATTTTATCTGTAGAAACAGGTTTTACTAAGCAATATAAATTTTCTTGTTTTAAAATTTCAACCAAAAACTTTTGGGGATAATACTCGATCCCTATTCGATAATTTACCTGCCAACGTAGTCACTAAGGGTGGAGCAACAGAATATATAAAGACGAGCAGATTTTATTTCTTACACAGTCGTAGACAAATTGCTTGACTATTAGTCACAAATTTAATAAGTTTATTTCTATTTTTTAATAATCATATCAATATGAAGACTCAAATTATTTGCTTGTGCGTTTTGGGAGTTATTGCTTTAGTATCATGCGCTCAACATGTACCATTCTCTAAACTACAGGAAATTACTCCCGAACAAATTACGCTGGTGGAAAGTCAGATGCCATGTGTCCTCCAAACGCCTGGAGCATCCTGCTCTAAAATTGGATTGAGGGCCAAAGGTTAGTATATTTTAATTAACTGAAATAGTTATAGATGAAAAAGTTTTTAATTTATCTTAGATAACAATTATTTTTTAACTGTTTAATAATTCATTTTTCTTTTCAGATGTGTTACCAGAATTTCTTAAAACGAAAAAATGCTCGACATGTACTCCTGAAGAGAAGGAGAAAATCGATCAAATTTTCACGATCCTGCACACTACGGAACTCAAAAAATATTTAATCCCACTTCAAAACCTTTACGGTAATAATCAGACTTACGATCACAATTCCAACTGAATTCATCAAGAAAAATAACTTTGCAAGAGAAGATGCAAATCATTCAGGAATTTTTTTATCAGAAATATTGTTTGATTAGAGTAATACAGTAAATATTCCATAGAAAAGTTTTCAATTTTATTAATTAAATTGTATTGTATTGACATTTTCATCTCGAATAAAAATTAAAATACTAATAAATTCTACGTTTTCTTTATTTATTAATAATTTGCTTAGTTAATACTTATATAATATAATTTTAATAATATTTTAATGTAATATAATTTTTTTCAGTTCAATAATTAAAAAATGCATGGTATCATTACGAACAAATAATTTAATACGTTATGAAATTTTTCATTTATTAATTTTAATAATGATCTATGAAACTAATAAAAATGTAAAAGTACAAAAGATTTTTATTTTCTTTCAAGTATTTAGAAAAATTTATTATCTGATGGAGACCGTAGATAACAATAGTTGGTCAGTCCTGGAAATTTTTAGGTATTGTAGAAAATTTAAACGTACACTACTGTAATTACATATTTTTCACAGAATTTTCAAGGATAATACTCAGTCAAGGGCAAACTTTCTTCAAAATTTATTTTTATCTTTATTACCCATATTTTACAATAGACAATACTTGTCGTAAATTTGACCCTCATATAATTCCTTAAATGATGAAAAAAAAATATTTTTTCTCCTCTCCGTGCGGAAAGCGTCAATTTTCTGCTTGCTGCGCTAAACGAAAATGCCGCTTTCCGCCTCCGCCGAGGAGAAAAATAGTATTCTCACCACGGGCAGGAAATAAGAAAGCCTCAGATCACATGTTTGTCGACCTCGGCTTCGCCTCGGTCAACAATTACATGTAATCTGAGACATTTCTTATTTTCCTGCCCCAGGTAAGAAAAATACTATTAAATATTCAAAATAATAAGAATAAGTAATAAACTATACTGAAGTCAGTTTAATACCTGAAAAAATTTGAATATAAAGTATTTATATTGTTCGCTAAGAGTACTCAGATACTAATCACTTAAAAACAAATTTTACTTTAAATATACTTTTTCCCTAATTACCTGAGTCTTAATTATTCAGTATATAATATCTGCCAGAGTGTAAACGACAGACAAAAGTAGTTTTGCAGTTATCCAGAAAATTTTGGAGGTGTAAGACGCTTTTTAGTTATCACAAAAATAGTTTTATCAAGTGTATTATCAAGTAAAGAACAATGAATATCAAATTTTTTTATTTATTATCGACTCTTGTCGGAGTTTTTGCGCTAGTTTTGAATGTGAATGCTAAGTACGAAGATGTTCCATCTGATATTCAGAAAAAATATTTGCCGTACATTGATTGCGTTCTAGACCGAAAATCATGTGACTTTATAGGAGGCCAAGTTAAAAGTAAGTTTATTTTAAATGTATAATAAAAAAATATCAATTATTTTTATTACTTTCTCTCTAATCAATAATAAATTATGATTTTATAATAAATTACAGAATTGCTGCCCGACTGGTTTAAAAATGAATGTGCTGATTGCAATTCCATGATAAAATCAGAAGCAAAAAAAAGAATACCCGATATACAAAAATATTTCCCTGAAGATTGGCAATTAATTGAACAAAAGTATGGTGGTAAATCGACTGACAAACAAGCACGCCCTACATTTTCGGCACCGAGTAAACCAACCATTGTAATTGAAGAAGAAAAACCCCGTCCAACATTTTCCGCGCCCAGCAAACCAACGGATCAGGACAATCAACCGCGGGAAAAACAAACAATATCGGATAATTCAGCTTCACCTGAGGTTTTATTCGCAAATGATCAATCTTTCGGAGCGAAAGCTGTCCTATGTTTAATAATGAACAAAGGTTGTGACGAGCGAATGAAGTTCTTCAAAAGTAAGTTGTAAAATTTTTAGCTTTCTTGGGTAATGAAATAAGTTTTAACTGGTTATTAAAAATTTATTTTTGTTCATCACAGGATCAATGTTCCTTTTTACAACAATCAATACATGTCCCGGATGCCAAAATCCAAAGGTTCACAAGTTTTTCACACAAGCGAAGAATCTTTTAAAAAAATCCTTTCCTGAAGTCTTACAAGACATCATTGTTAATAAAGGAGAATAAATATGTAGCATAATTTCATAAATAATCATGTTCATAAACTATGTATCGTATTACCATTTATAAATAACATCTTGATTAAATAAAATTGTCAAAATATAAAAATAATTTACTTTCATTAATTGATTAATTTATATTTAATTTAAGGGAATCAGCGCTCGAATGAGAATTCTCTTTCTTCACTTATTAAGAAGAGAAAAATATAAAAAAAAAAGATATCAGATATTTTCCATAAATTTATTAGATATTATAATTAAGAAAAAGAAAATAGAATTTAAGTTAAGAAGAGCTGATTATAACAGCAGAATTGAAGCAAAAAAGATTTGAAAGCATCGGAAGAATTTTGTTTTTTTCAATATTATTTTTAAGGAGATTCTGGTGAAGTTTTTATTAGTTCAACCACGAGAAAATTATTAAAATATGACATTTCAAATAATTTTAAATAATTCTAAACATAAAAAACAAACTTCCGAACTACTTTCGTTAAATTTTAATTTTGAAATTGGATAAAAAGCTAGCTAGGTTATACATGAAACTAAATAGACAATATAAGTTATTTTTTCAAAATAACTCCAAAAACAGCACCTCAAACTTTTACGGAATAATAATTATTATTTAAACTTTCATAATTTTACAAAACCTTTTAACTTTATATTTAATTGTAATTTACATATTTTTCTTCTTTATTCTACACTATTGTTGCCGCAAAATTCTTCTTAAAATTAAAAAAAATAAATAATTTATAAGGTTTTGAAGAGGTAATACATATAATTGATAAGTAATAGACATTCTATTCTTTAAATAACAATAAATAACTCAAAAGTACTCGGGTAATTTAGGTTCATTAAAAACACATTAGGAGATCCGATAAATTGAATAGAAAGAAATTTCTAATAATACGTTTCGAAAACTTTAGGTAAGCTGTAAAACCGTGAGGAATTGTTCAAAAAAATCTGACTGAAATGGTATTTATGTGACGAGCATTGAGCTGAAGAAGATAAATCAATGAAACATAAGTTGAAATTACTTCAGTAGTGTTGTGTTGGCTGTTATTGAAAGTGTTGGAACGTGTAAAAATTAAAGTTTAACAAGTTATTTAAATTATTTAAGTTAATTAATTTTTGCATAAAAATGGTCCATTTCGTGAAAATAATAAGACTGATTATAGCAGGAATGTCATTTAAATTAAACATAGAAACTTATGAAGATCGAATTGAATCAGAAATTAAACATGACTTTATAAGTCGATTTTTTTGTGTTCTTGGAGCAGATGAATTTTGTGATGCATTTGGAGAACGAATAAAATGTAAGTGAGAATTACTAATTAATAATAATCATAATGTATCTTGGAATGGATTAGCAAATAATATAATTACTTAAGTACAATTATATTTTCACAGTTAACATGGTTGATCTATTGGAAAATCAGTGTTCAAAATGTTCGCTACAAATGCAAGCTATAGGTTCAAGAGCGATTCCGTATCTCAAAGATCAATTTCCAGATTTATGGATACTTCTTGTTAAAAAATATCAAAAAAAAGAAAATTCCATGGAATCTTATTTTTTGAGCGCTTACGAATGTCTTATTGAGGACTTAAATTGTAATTCATCATTTGAATTATTAAAAAGTTTGTATTAATTTTTTTTTACATTTTGCAGTATAAATATATAATATATTATATTTTACTGCACAATAATTTGAATTTGTCGGTAAAATTGGATTAATAATTTCGTACGTGCTTTATCTTATAGAAGCTCTACCAGTGATATTAAAATTAAAATTTATTCCTGGAGAAAAAGACGTGACGGTATTGCTTGGTCAACAGTTGAGACTAGTGGAGAAAAAATTCCCTTTTGTATATCAAGAATTGCTGGACAAATTTAAAGTTTCATAACTCTAACAATTTTGTTTATGTATATATTTGTATTTTTATAAAAAATTATATCCTTTGTATTATATATAACAATTATTTAATTTATTTAAATTATTAAGATTAGAATTCAACCACGAGTATCAATTGTTTATTATCATTATCACTATTATATTTATAAAATTTATTATCAAGTAATTAATTCCTTTATAACAGTTTTAAAGAATTGATAAGTATTATATTTATCAATTTATCATTTTGGAATCTAAATAATTCAATTAGCTTAAAAATATTTTTACGAAACCAACAATGTACGTATAATGACGATTGTAAATAAACACTATGTGTAAGTCATATAATCATTGACGTCATAAGTGTCACCACAAAATTCTTGAGGTAAGTAATGAGAACATATCTATTGATAAAAATATGTTTTAATACTCAGAAATTTGTTTATCTTAATTGTTCTATACGTCGAAAGAATCAATCATTAAAAAGTTAAACAAAAAAATAGATCTTAATTATTATTTATATTTTATTGTACATGTGGCATAAAGATGACAGAAATTTTTTTAAATTAATAAATATTTATATCATAGTATTTATTATTTTAATATTTATTAAATTAAAATTCGAGCACCATGTCGATAATCACAGATTTCAAAGGTATAAAATAAACTAATGACTTGAAAAATATTTACATACATCAATATATATTATATTATAAATAATATGTATTTAATATAAAAAATATCTCTGTCATGCTAAAGAAAATCCAAGAACTGGTTCTAAAGTGTATTCAAATAGTTTTAGATCCATTTTGTACATTTTAGCCAATTTTTTCATCTGCTTATAAGTAAGCATTGAATAATAATGCTCCAATTTTCCTGCTGTTGGCTCATTGCTAGATGCTCTCATTGGAAATCTGTAAAAGAAATCAACCCTAAGTATCAAAGTAATATTCTTAATTTAGGAATTTTTCTACTCAATTAAAGAAGATGAAGTTTTTTTTTTAAATTATTTACTTAATTCATAATTCAAGTAAATTTTTTCTTTCTGTGCAATAATATTGATAATAATTAAACTTAAAACTAATAATTACGTTAACGATCCAGCGCCAATTCTTTCCAATATTTCCATAGCATCTTCCGCAAGTGTTTCATACTTGCTAATAAGATTGTAATTAACATCACAAGGCAAACACAATTGATAAATAGGCTTCCAATGTTCATTACTCGTACCATTCATATTTTTGTCTGTTATAAAATCAACAAACTCACTGAACGTAACGTCATCCCCTTTAGCTAAAGACTCTTTGCTCGGATTTCTTCTATAACTCTGTTATAAAAATATTACGTTGTTAATAACATGATTTTTGGATAAAAATTAAATTTATAAATAAGGAAGTACTTGAACATTTATAAAAAAAATTCGCTGGCATTAAATGAATTTCCTTGACATTTACCTTAATGATCCTTCGACCGAAACGGGTTTGAAAGTACTTTGCACTTATTTCATCTTTAGCTTCAAATTTATTTCTGTATGCCGATAGTAATCTTTCAAGTGGATGTCTTACAACAATAAGTGTATCATAGTTCGATAATTTACGTTCTATCTCTGTCATTGTAAAATTACTCAACCGTTTAAAAGTTCCTGCGGCGTGTGTAAGATTCCCGGGTATCTCCAGTGGATTGCTTCCAGACCATTTACCAGTTGCAATCATCAAAACACGTTTCCAATTAGTACATGCGACCTGTATATTAAAGCAATTACTGTTATAATTACTATTATTATAATCAAAGAGGAATTGAAAATATAATTTATCTAAAAATGAAGATTAATGATTTATTAATACCTTTGGAACGTAGCAGTAAAGCAATTCAAGCTCATCATTAACGAGTATGTTTCTAAAATCATCAGGCACTAAGATACGTTCGTTAACTTGTTTTGTTGTCATAATATCTTCACAGTTATACTGCAGCTTCTCTTGGCGTTCTATCAAAGCGGATCTTACTAATGCATTTGAACCGATCGACGAGTAAGCCGGTTTGTGTCGTTGAAATGTAGTTGATAGCCCATCATTATTGTTATTGACAACACTATTGCTATTATTATTATTATTATTATTATTATTATTATTATTATTATTATTATTATTAGTTTCCAAGTGTACGAAGGTGAACATTAGGTGAATTGTTATTAGTATTATCTTCATGACTCGCCATTGTATCATTATACTTTGACCTTCGCTTCATTGATTTACCTTGGGCGTCTGGATACGATTAACCAAGTCGTTCACTTCGAAAAAAATTATTATACGAGTCAAAAGGATATTTTTTTACCTCCAAAAATTATAAACTACAAGTTGTTATAAATAAATTCTTGGTACTTAAATTATATATCTATTAGGCGGAAAAAATAGTCTTCTTAAGTGTCTGTGATTATGTTCTATGAAATAGGCGTCTGGAGCTCACGGGTTGAGTATTTTATTGTTATTATTATCATTAATGGTGGATAATTTAGAAAGAGGTCAATTGTTTTTCTTGTTTCGCGTTAGAAGTTTTAAGTATCTTATCTCGAATAACTGGATTCTATTGGGTGTCAGTGGGTCGTTTTTGCAAGATAAATCTTTTTTTTTTTTTTTTTTTTTTTTTTTTTTTATCAATTCCAGTTTTTTTATCACGATTAATATTTATATGAGTAAAAATAAAAAAATAAATAAAATAAATGGTCTGAAAAAACGGATTTTTAATTCTCAATGAAGCTGACGTGAATACGAAATTGAGAGTGTGTAAAAAAATAATATTTTACTGATACAAATTGATTTGTATGCTTTAACTGTTGTAAGATAAAAAGAATTTAAGGAATTTGATGCATTTGAAAGGTCGGAGGAGCAAAAAGAATGAGTAACTGTACGTTATTTGTATTGCGCGCATCCGAGCTTTAAAAACCGCGAAAAATTAATTCAGTATACCAATTTAAACGGACTAACCATTACATCCATTAAGATAACAAGCTAAAAAAGAGATTGTTTTTTTATTATTTTTTTTCTTAAATAAATGCTGAGTAACTCACGTGGCTATTACAATCTAATTGATTATTACGGCATTAAAGTTACCGTAGGTCAATGATTAGACAACATTTATTTTGTAATAAATAATTGATCAATAGAATTAGCAGCGAAAAATTAAAGTTAACAATTTATCTTGAACTTTTTTTTATCAAATTTTAAATTTACAGTTTAAAATAAATTTATCAAAAAAAGCAATTACTTTTTACCACATTACGCAAGTTGAAACTTTTTAATTGGCCAATAAAAAGAATAGTATTATAAAATCAAAGTGTTATGTGTTCGATACTCACATTAAAAAATCCTCTGGGTATTTGTTAAAAAATAAAAACCTGTCTATTCCGTCAGTAAGTGACACATTCACCGAACACAAGACCTTGGTGAAATAAAAGTTGGACGTAGAGATCCGAACAAGTTTGCACTTTAACTCAATTTACAGAACAAGGTTTCTTTGAGCACGAGTGAAGGTCTCTCCCCGAAACCCACTCTCGATCACCACGCGATCTACTGCCGATACTCGCGATTTTTAAAGTTTTTAATTTACTTTTTTTCGATTAAATATTCAAATGGAATGTCAACCGGCAGACAATTTCGTGATACATGTTGTTTTGCGCATACATTAATATAACGTCTACGCTTAAGAAACATAAACACTGGCTCAGGGCACCATTTACCATCCGACATGTAACGAGCGTTTATGCATATACTTTACTCGTTACAATACCTAACTGCAATTACTTTGCGTGCAGAGATTCAGAGAAAGACTCTACTCTCAATCTACTACACTTGATAATATCCATCTCATAGTTTGGAGCGTACTCCCTCTTAAAATCTTCACTGTCTCCTTCTCACCTCTTCTCGCATTTACGTTAGTCGCCTTTTTTTATTATTTTTTTGCAATCTCTTTTTTATTTTTCTTTCATTCCATCTGCCTATAAACTTTTTGTCGATCTTTCAAACCAACGGGAATTAAATAAAGATAGAAATATATATTTCAAGATGTCATTGAATTTTTATTTTAAATTTAGCGACTGTTTTTAGATGTTAAATTTCTTTTTATAATTTATTAAAAAATATACTACGATGTGTATAAACAATTTTAATAACTAAAATATGATGAATTTATTTATCTTTTCGCGAGAAAGTTATAGATTTATTTATGTGAATGTTATATTTATTGCGTAATTTGAACTTTATATCGCATATATATATATGAATTATCATACATACTTTCTGACACAGTATTAACAAATCATTTCTATTTGTAACACGTCATGTCGTCTTATATTTTATGGTAAAAAATTTACAAGCTGCTAATTGGTTTGAATAGGTAAAAAGAAAATATTTATTATAATTATATATTTACTTGACCGTATGCGTCATTACCAGCAATGTATGATGCTATTTAACGTTTGAATTTTATAACTAAAATATTTAAATATAACACTTGAATAGTTTATTATTTGTTAACTTTTAAGTATGAGAGTGAAGATAAAAAAATGAATATTTTAGTTTAAATAAATAGAATGGGTTACACGGAAACGCTTTTATTCTAACAAATAATTTCAAAGTACCGACAAAAGTCAATTTTGTTTTTTCATATATTTTAAGAAAAAAAAAAAAAAAAACTCAATTTTACAATAAACAAATTGTATTACTCAATATAGAATAAATTTAATTTGAATGAGGAAGTATATAGTAGGTGATGAATGTAAACAAAAATTAACCGCATGAATTATGTATGCGATAGTATCTAAAGATGATATAATAGTACTTCACATATATGTTTATAAATGTACGTAGATAAAAGGTAATGTACAGTGCATTCACAATTGCGCTACAGACAAGAGTTTTAAAGGAATCAATGATAGTTTATTCTGATAAAAAAAAATTTATATTATCAACTCGAAATAAAAGAAGAAATAGCTTATCGCGCGATCAATTGATTTTTGTTGAAAGATGAGTAAATAATAAAATAGTTGGTAAAGAAAAAAAATATTATTTAAAAAACTAAACGTGCCAGTATCATTTAAATAATCCTGTGAAGAGTGTGTGTATCAAATCGTCCAAGCTCAGTTGATGTTGATCAACCAACAGCGAGTATAGAGTAACAGAGAAAGTGTTTTTACATTTATAAACTTCTTGGCAGTCACTAGAAGCCGGTGAAACTGATTAGATCTGTAGTCCTTGTTCATTTTTCAATGTACATATTTTTTATTTATTTATTAGCGAAGAAAATTCGACCGAACTAAGACCAAATACATTATAATTCAAGAGTCGATTTTTAAAAATTTTTAATACAATTATTTGATAAATGAGTGATGTGATGAAAAATTTAATGAAATAGTTTTAATAAGTTTTTGTAAATATAATAGTGATTAATGTTTATTATTATTGAAGAAAATGATATTGTCAATTTCTCTGTGGTTATTGGTGGCAGTATTGATTCTTTGGATACTGTTGGACCCAGTAAGCAGAATATCTCGTGCAATATTTGAAGTACTAATTCCATTGGTAAATCAAAAACCAATTGATTTGAAAAATAAATTTGGCGAATGGGCAGGTGAGCTTATTCATAATTTATTTTTAATTAAAATTTAAAAATTATGATATTTTAAATCGCTGAAATCTGGAAATTTTTTCTTCTAATAAATATTCAAAAATTTCTTACATTTTTTTGAACAATTATATGAATAAAAATCTAAACATTTTTTAACGCTATTAAAAGTTTTATAATAAAAAAAGTCAATGACATTTTTCTAATCCGATGAATTATTGCGATAGTAAAATAACTATTAAATTATTTTACAGTGGTGACTGGCTCGACTGATGGGATTGGTAAAGCTTATGCGAAAGAACTTGCCAATCGTGGATTCAATTTAGTTCTTATTAGTCGTAATGCTGAAAGACTGGAAAAAACTAAAAGTGAAATGTTAACAATAAGTCCAAACATACAAATTAAATTAATTTCAGCAGACTTTTCTAAAGGAAGAGACGTTAGTGTTGAAATAGAACCACATTTGAGAGATATACCTGTTGGAATTTTAGGTAATTTATTTTTTAAAAACTATTTTATCTGAGATTAAAGTAAATTGAATTTTACTGCTTCTGAATAATTCAAAAATTGATATTTAAAAATAAAATAAATTAGATATTTTCTTAAAAGAAAATTACATTTTAAAAATTGATATTTTTGTTTAAACAGTCAATAATGTCGGAAAACAGTATACATACCCAATGTATGTGGGGGAAGTCCCGGAAGATGAACTTTGGGACATAATAAATGTGAATATTGGTGCTGCTACTTTAATGACACGTATAGTAATACCAGGTATGCAAAAAAGACAAAGAGGAGCAATCGTCAACGTATCATCAGGGTCAGAATTGCAGCCTCTGCCGCTAATGACTGTTTATGCCGCGACTAAAGTATATTTAAGAAGTTTCTCTGAAGCTCTAAGAGTCGAGTACAATAAATTCGGTATTACGGTCCAGCATTTAACGCCACTATTTGTTAACACTAAAATGAATGCTTTTTCTCATCGATTGCAGGTAAATTTTATTACAAATATATATCTTATTTTTTGCCTATTAAATCATTTTTTAATTACGTAATAAGAATGACTGAAGAATCCTGAAAAAGAAAATGAATAAAATGAATAACCGGGAATTATTATTGAATAAAGGTATCTACAGTCGCGGTACCGGATGCAACAACTTACGCAAAGAATGCTGTTGCAACTCTTGGAAAGATCGACAGCAGTACGGGTTATTGGGCTCACGGTATACAAGCTTTTTTCACATTGATACCTCCTGTATGGATACGGACCAAAATTGGTGAAATGATGAATCAAACATTCAGAAAGGATTATTTAAAGCAAAAAAATCTTTGAACAATGTAAATATACATATATAATTTATAATTTATAATTCAACAAAATAATTTTTCAATTTTATATAAATTTTCATTGAATCTTGAATTTCTTCGTCACGTTTTTTTACATCATCTGTACAATTAATCTTAAATATACATATATAGTAACTCTAACGTTTAAATGAGACACATTTAAAAAATTAATTACTTGTTGTTTTTTTTTTCTTTTCCATTGTTATTCACTTTTTTAGCGTTTAATATACAATGCTTGTGAGTAATTGTAATTAGTACCGATTTATTTTGTCTATTTTTTTATTTAATGGTTTGATAGTTCATCCTGTTTAATTATTAAACACGTTTAATAAAACTATTGATACCATTTCTTGAGTATCTTTATTTACCGCTACTTAATAAATAGCATCCACGATTATTATTATTTTTAATTATTATTATTGATTACTTATTACTTACTATCATTACAAGTATTCTTTTGTAACTCTAGTTGAACAGAAAAATATATATTTATTTAGGGTGGCGCAAAAAAACCGACTATTTTTTTTTTTAAGTCTCGAGTGAAAAAATGTTAGTTTTTGATGTTTTAAGAGCCCTCACCAAAAGACAGCTCAAAAAAAAATTTTTTAGAGGTCACTCCAAATTTTTCAAAATTTCAAAAATCGTCAAAAATCAAAATTTTTTTTTTTTTAATTTTCTTTCTCGTTACGGTATAATTTTATAGACT